CTTAATAAACCTCTCATTAAAATCTGGTATATTTCCAGACTGCTACAAAATTGCCAAAGTTAAACCCCTTTTTAAAAAAGGAGAAAAAACAGCAATGGAGAATTATAGACCTGTCTCATTATTACCAACGATTTCCAAAATATTAGAAACAGCAGTAAAAAATCAGATGACAGATTATATTGCACAAAATTCCATTCTAAGTAAAAATCAATTTGGATTCCAAAAAAAGAAAAACACCACCCAAGCTATACATAATTTGGTGAAAAACGTAAATCTCATTCTAGACCAAAGAGAACATCCTTTGACCATCTTTTGCGACCTGTCAAAGGCGTTCGATTGTGTCGACCATAATATACTCCTTGAAAAATTGGAATTCTATGGCATTACCAATAACTGGTTTTTTTCCTACATCCACGGCTGGCAAATTTTTGTTGAAGTCGAACAAAATGTCAATAATAATGTGGAACAAATACAGTCAACGTTGAGGCCACTCACATGTGGCGTACCCCAGGGATCTATATTGGGACCACTATTATTTTTATTATATGTTAATGATCTTGACATCAACTTTCCATCCGCTTTATTTACACTTTTCGCTGACGATACCAGCATTACTTTACGTGAAAAACTCCTGAACGATCTTCAAACAGAAGGTAGACAGCTGCTAGATGAGATAAATGATTGGTTCGCGGCAAACAAGCTGGTCCTCAATGTTGACAAAACATTCAACATGCTTTTTCAACCCAACAAAAAGATTGGAGAACATAACATTACCACCGAAAATGGTAGTGTTACTTCTCAACAACATCTAAAATTTCTTGGAGTATACATGGATAACGCACTGAACGGGAAAAACCATACCTCCTTACTGAACAAATCTATGAGTAGTGCAATCTACGCTATTAGAACTGCAAAACAGAATATTGGCAGGGAAGTAGCAATGACTGTCTACTATGCATATTTTTACAGCCTTTTACAATATGGAGTGGAATTCTGGGGCATTTCTGTTGGGGCAAAAGACACCTTTCTTCTCCAAAAACGAGCCATTCGTGCCATATTCTCTCTTGGAAGGTTGCAGTCTTGTAGACCCTATTTTAAAGATAACAAAGTTTTCACTTTGACAAACCTTTACATCTACAGGACTGCAATTTTAATGTTTAATGAAAGAGAAAACTTGACAATGCACTCAGACATTCACACCTACTCCACAAGAGGTAATGATGCTTTTCTGCCGCCAAACTTTACTTTAGAAGTAAATAGAAGATATCCCAGTTACATGGGCATAAAAATTTTAAACAACTTAGGTACCGCGTGAGTTGCTTAACAGTCCTAATGAAAATATTTACAAAAAAAAGCTTAAAGATCTGCTACATACTCACACTTTTTATAATATAGACGAATTTTTTAACCATACATTCTAAATTTTGCATTAACGAACCGCTAACCATTTTAGTTTAGAAATGATTATTTTACTTACTGCCCAAATGTTTATATTTATTACTGGCTACCTACTGTATATTTCCTTATTGTTAAATTTTTTTTTAAAAGTGTTTGTGTGTTGTCAATTTGACTTGTATTTTACATCTCTTTGTACCTACTGTAAACTTGTTGCTTACTTTATGTAAAGCCAAACTCAATTTAATAATTTTTATTGTATGATAAAAATAAGATTTAAATTTTTTTCCATATAGATTTTGCAAGCTTTTTTTTTGTATACTATGTTGAACATTTTGGAAATAAACATTCTATTCTATTCTATTCAAAAACGTGAAAAACCTTCCACCCAAAAACGTGAAAAACCTTTATTGAATATAACACCTTGAAAATTAAATTATTTTTGAGTCTCTGATTGCTCGCTCCGTTCAGTCCGCTCGCCAATTCGCCAAACTTCAAAGAGAAGATTCTTGGAAGGTAAATCCACCATAAACGTGGAAAACCTTTTTCAAATATAGCTGCTTTCCAGCTGACTATTTTGAGCACGCAATCGAGCTTTTGCGTGCGCAAATACTTCCAGCGCGTGTTCGTGTTCCATCAGCCGTACAGCGCTTAAGTGCGGTGTCACACTATGCGTTTTTAACGCTGCGGCAAGAAAGGATGCATTTTGACCGGATGAACTCTACTTGTCACACTTATCCCATCGGGATCCGTTTTAACGGGATGTTCTGTAGTGGTAGATTCATGGCGAATTTATTAAAGATTATTTTAAATAACCTTTCTCATCTTTCTCTGTTGAGTCAAGCTCCATCCAATTCTCTCATAGTTTCTCCAAATTCCACCCTGGCTTTCTCTCTACAGTTTTTATCTGAGTATTCTTTCGACCTTTTCTCCCATAATACTTATTTACCGTAGACGCACTCATAGGATAGATCTACGTTAAACATGATGAAATGTAATGAAAAAACAAACCACGAACTCTGAAGAACCGCTGCGTTCGAACCGTCAGGTGTGACTACAAACATACAATTGCACGTGTTTTCTTTCTATTACGGTCGTCCGGTCGTGCGGTGCCGCCGCAGCATGATGCGGTTGCATCCGGTTTGGGTGCGGTACAACTCTGTATGTGACAGCTCCCATTTAATACAATAACCCTTTTCAAGTGGCTCCGGTTTAACAAACCGCAACATACCGCTCAAATTCGAGTGGTAGGTATCCATCACGTCACTTTGTAACCGGGTTAGAAAACGGTATGTCATTTCTCTAACCGTTTTGTAACCCGGTTAGTTAAACCGGAGCCACGTGAAAAGAACTAATGGGTTTACACCATTTCCTCAAACCGAAGCGTTCTTGCCGCAGCGGTGAAAACGCTATGTGTGACACCACACTAAGAGAGCTGCTAACTTTTGCGTTTCAAACACAGAACACTGTGCTGCACCGTACTTGAAGCACAAACACAATAGCCGCTTTCCAGCTGTGTGCTTCAAGCACGGTGCAGCACAGTGTTCTGTGTTTGAAACGCAAAAGTTAGCAGCTCTCGAAGCGCAGTACGGCTGGAACACGAATATGCGCTTGAAGCATTTGCGCGCGCAAAAGCTCGATTGAGTGCTCAAAAGCGTCAGCTGGAAAGCGGCTAATGTCCGGTAGGCTCAGAGTTCACTCCCATCATACAGAAATGTGTTAAAGGGGCCTTAATGACATTTGAAATCTATCCAAGTTCTCTGCTTTGGAGTGCGTTCGAAATCACCCTGGGCGTCACACCGAGTGCACACCAGCCATGAATAACACATGGCTGGTGTGCACTCGGTGTGACGTCCAGGGTGATTTCGAACGCACTCTTGAGGTTTCGACGATCGAGTCACCTCCCGGGTTGGTTTTAGCCAAGGATGATACACACTTCTACTACAGGATAGCCTATCCTCATAAGGCCTGTGTGGAACAAATTCCCCCGCCCACCATTTGAACACATTTCGGATAAGGATGGTCGAGAGGGTGCACTCTGAGTGTGCCCGTCGAATTGAAAAAAATAAATAGTATGGAAGAAGCTATAGTGAATTTTTTCGACGTCGTTCCAGCAAGATGTGGGGCAAATTTTACCTTGCTATGGGGTGCGAAAGTTTGCGTTGGGATGTCGTCCGGTAAAAATCTACTGATAATTTGAACAGCTAGTTAAATTTTGGCAGTGGATAGAGGTCCGAAAATTCGGATCTCTAGTGTTCATACTAGTTGTATTCCTTTCAAGAGCTTGAAACACTCGAGCTACTCGCTTCGGTGCTTGGTCGCCCCCGATTTGCAGGGAACATATGCGTGGTGCAACAAACACTTTTCGAAAGGAATAAGCGCGTGAAGCCCCGGAGCTGTTCCGGAGCTCCTCCTAGGTGTGAAAGGAATACAAGTACTAAAGCCTAGTACTCATAACTGCGAAATTCGCATTTTTTTGACATTGCTTCGACAATTTGACGTTTGATACACGCATAAAACGTCAAATTGTCAACGCAATGTCAAAAAATGCGAATTTCGCAGTTATGAGTACTAGGCTTAAAGATCCGATCATTTTCGGATTTTCAATTTGTATATTAGGGGTCCGAAAATGCGGATCTTTAGTGGTAATATTGAAGATCCGAAAATAGATTTTTATTTCTAATTCTGTCTAATTAAGGAGTATCGTCGCAAGAATCTACAAAGAATAATATTCGAGATAAGCCTCTGTTTCTGCAGAAATCACAAACCAGTCAGAGTGAATTTCATTGGTTGATACTAGTTTTCTGACTGTTTCTGACCCATATAAAGGAAGACCCAAAAGACATCAATTAACTGCAATTTGACTAAAAAGGTCTAAGAAAAATAAAAGTGTTTTATTCAAAAATGAAGTTCCTAAACTGAGGCAACATGCTTAATGCAGTTTTAAATACAGATGATTTGGTAAGCAAAGCATTACATAAAAACTTTAAAAATGAGAAATAAAACATTCCTCATCATCAACAAATTGATCCACTTCTTCTTGAAAAAGAAATATCTTTAGCAGAAATATAAACATATTTTTGTCTGGATTCTTATGTTTTATTACAAAAACGAATTGGAGAAAAACAAAATAGTATTCTAAAATGGATTTGTGATATATGTAACAAAGTGATACATGAAGATTGCTTACGGTGTGATTCATGTGTTCGGTGTAAACATAAAGTGTGTTCTTTAGTAACAAAGCTGCCTTCTAGTAAGGCTTTTGCATGCAGTGCAGAAGGAACTAAATCACACCTCACACCTCTTACCCTATCAACCCTTAAAATGAAGAAATATTTATTTTTAATTATGTAATGTTTTAAAAAAATAAAAAGGTACTCAGTTTTGTTTTTTGTACTTTTCTGTTTGAAATTGCACCAACCAACTATTTTCGAGTAAACTTGATTAGTCTACATAAAAAGGATTAGAGGATCCATTTTTTCTAGTATGAATCCTTAAAAATACAAGCATTTTATCAATTTTATTGAAATGGTATAATATTCCTTAATTACGACAGAATTAGAAATAAACATCTATTTTTGGATCTTCAATAATACCACTGAAGATCCGCATTTTCGGACCCCTAATATACAAATTGAAAATCCGAGAATTATCGGAACTTTAGTATGAACACTAGAGATCCGAATTTTCGGACCTCTATCCACTGCCTTAAATTTTACCCAAGGCAATCTAATCTGAACGGCCAATGCGCGCTCGGGTGACACCAGACGTTCATCGGAACACGCCCCGATGAGAACGCTGCCTCCTACGGCAAGGATATTATTATGGAGATGGAAAAGGATATTCCGTTTTTTTTTTCAGGACATTTTTTATATTTCATGACGTCTTAAAATCCTTTCAATCAGTCCTTTCATTGGTCGTGTTCTAATGGAAGTTGGCTTTTTTCCAATGGGTGTGGCTGTTCGTTCGTGAATCGTGGTCCTTGACCTCGCCGAAATCGCCACATCATGGGCCTACTCTCCTAACCTAAAAATATTATTATTTTTGTGTAGAAAAATCTTAAAATCATCTACACTACACTAACAGTAATCAATGCAATGCATTTATTTAGAAGTACTTCTTTGTATAAATTGATGAGGTAGTTCTATTTTTACTTTGTTCCCAATTTATCTCAAAAATAACAATTAAAATTTTAATTTTCACAAAATATTTTTTCGAATTCATCTATAGCAGCACTTTAAATTTACAATCTGCTGTGCTGGTTAGGAGACATTCCCTTGAGCCATTGTATAGTACCATGTCTTTTAATTATCCAAAGCCCCCAAGAAGTGAAACATGCAAGGAAAACTTCTTTGGGACAGAGGCAAGTACCTAGTATATTTTAAATAGATAAGTTTTAAGACTTTCTATTAATATTTTCGCAGGTCTCGGATCCATACAGATGGCTAGAAGACCCAGATTCAGATGAAACTCGGAGCTTTGTTAATGCACAAAACTTGATTACTCGTCCATTTCTGGATAGTTGCCCCTATAAAGAATCTATTAAAAGTAGGATAACAAATTTATGGAATTATCCTAAACACTCGGCCCCTACCAAACATGGAAATAAATATTATCAGTATCGAAATACAGGTAAGTGAACGTAAGGCTGGGATTGAGCTGGTATATATATTTACCGATTAACATTTGTTCAAAATATACGAAGTTAAAACTTCAACCATCAGTTGCAGAACAGGGGGCCCGCTCCTCGTGTTGTTTGTGGGGATTGTGCCCTGCACCGCCATCAGAAATAATTATATCCCATGACTTTGCCCTAGCAACTATAAACATGATGGATTGAGTTGGTTTCAATGTTATTGAGTTTTTTGTGTTTATTTATTATTGATAAAATGAATTCTATTGGAAATGGGATCAGTAAAGCTGATTTTGGGTGACCTCCCCAAAGTTGATCAGATCATGAACTATTTTAACAAAAACAAATAGTACCTACCTCAGTAGAGAAATAAAGGGAATTAAATTTGCCTATTAACATTGGCGAAGTTTTCAATAAGCAGAGCCACATCAATATAACCAAAGGTCCAGGATGTGATGGAATACCTCCAACATTTCTTAAGACTTGTGCACTAGCTTTATCTAGACCCTTGTGGCTGTTATATAACAAATCATTTTCTGTTGGAGTCTTTCCAACTACTGGAAACTATCTTTTGTGTGTCCGATTTTTAAAAATTCTGTCTCTCTGTTTCATTGTCTTTTATTTTAGAATAGTTTCTTGTACTTTCTATTTATAATTTGTTATTATTTTTAAGTACATATTATTATTATAATCATTGTAAAAATTAGGCTGTTGCCCGCTGAAATAGGTATAATTGTTTGTTCTAGGAATACAAAATCAGAGCGTTCTCTTCGTCCAGAATACATTATTTGATAAAGGAGAAATATTTTTGGATCCCAATGCATTTTCAGAAGACGGTACAGTTGCCTTATCAGCAACTTGTTTCTCAGAGGATGGAAATACATTTGCTTATGGTTTAAGCTCTAGTGGCTCTGACTGGGTTGAAATTAGATTCAAAAATGTTATAACTGGTTAGTTATAAATTTAAACATTTAATAAACAATATTCAAATATTCTGTTTTTATTTCAGGTGAAGATTATTCTGAAATTTTAAAAAAGATCAAATATTCCTCTATGTCATGGATGCATGATAATAAAGGCTTTTTTTATGGGGTAATTACATATTTTTAATGTCGAAAAATCACTATATAAATATTAATAAAACATTTATTTATAGGGATATTTAAACCAAGTAGGAAAAGCTGATGGGTCGGAAACCACATCCAGTGAAAATCAGAGACTTTATTATCATGAGTTGGGAACAGATCAATCTCAAGATGTAGAAGTTGTTGAATTTGAAGATAAAGAACTGAGAATGTAAAGTATTTTTAGAGTGATCAGGTACAACATTATTTTATATTTCTTTAGGGGAGGGCATGTAAGTCACTGCGGCGAGTATCTTATAGTTACCCCAATTAAAGGATGCAAAAATAATCTGGTTTATTTTGCAAGGATAGATCCGAATAAAACAATTACAAAAAAATTGGAACTTACACCTGTTGTTACAAACTTTGAAGCTGATTATGAGGTTAATCTGTAGGTATAAAGCATCTGTCTTGTTGCTCAAACATTTTTTTTTAGTATGTGACCAACATAGGAAGCAAATTTTTATTCCGTACCAATAAAGATGCCTTGAATTATAAAATAGTTGCCATAGATTTTAATAATCCGGTAGAATCTGAATGGGAAGATCTTATCGAAGAAAATCCAAAAGATGTTCTAGATTATATTCATGTTATAAACAATACCATGCTTGTCGTTTGTTACTTGAAAGATGTTAAAGTGTGTATGAAACTTATATAAATGCATTATGTTTATTAAAATTTTTCTCCTTTAGCACACCATGCACATTTTCGACCTTAAAACAGGCATAAAACTACATGACTTCAAATTGGATATGGGCACAATTTATGCAATCACAGGCAAAAGATACTACAACGAAATGTTTTATAGTTTTGGCTCTTTTTTGACTCCAAATAAAATTTATAGGGTTGAGTTTACTGATGGGCAAATAAAAGAGGAGGTAAGAATAATATAGAATTAAGGATTCCACACACTGGCGGGATATGGCGGAGGCGGTAGCGCGTTGTCGGCAGCGGTAAACGGACATATCGCTACCGCCACCGCCATATCGAGCCAGTGTGTGGAATCCTTGAGGTTACGGCTAAGCTTGCGACCTGGTCGTGGCGATTAGAACGTCGCTGTTTTGTAAATTCTTTGCACATGGCCACGCTTATGCGGCAACAGCTTTTTTCTACTCAAGACTCCAGTTCAGATCAAACCATGGAAGACGATATACCGTTAGCAATTATTTTCTCGAGGTATTTACGGAAGCATCATTAAGTTCATCCCAGTTTCGAAATTAGTCGCTGTCGCTGGCCGCAAACATGGCCAGCTACATAAGAATTAAAACCACTCATCACTGCGACCTGGTCACGACGTTCGTGTTGGCGTGTCCAGGTCGCAAGCTTGGCCTTAATGTCGTGAAACTTTGAAGAATGTCATTATGACAAATTGAAAACCAAAATGGGGCACAAAAGCTAAGGAATCATAATTTAGGAGTACATTTCAATCCCTTAGAAACACAGATGCGAGGATTCAATCGAGGAAGATCATATCAAAAATGATTTTGGTGAACTTGTGTGATTTTTTTTTGTGAGACAGCATCTTGTTTTCTGAATTTTCAACCCAGTTTCATATTCTTTGTTCTGTTTTACCGATGCATTGCTGTTTTATTTCCTTTTGAAATTTTATTTGAATGTTGTATCTCTCATTGTTTGACAGGCCCTACTCTACTTTGACGTGTATAAGCCTTTTTGAGGTGAAATATGTTTGTTTTCTTAAAAAATACCTGTGATGACAGGTTCAAAATGATACTAGGCATCGACGTAAATATAGGAAACACAAAAATATAGCTCACCAAATTGTGTGATTTTATGACTTATTGCATAATTTCTTTCAGTTATATCATGAAACCAAAGTAGGAAATTTGGATTCTTCCATGTTTGAGACAAAACAAGTGTTTTATAAAAGCAGAGATGGGACTGATATTCCAATGTTTATTATCAATAAAAAGGGCATTGTGAGAGATGGCTCCATGCCATGTTTGCTTTATGGATATGGTGGTTTTAATGTCAATTTAACGCCATCATTTGGAGTTTCAAGATTAGTTTTTGTTAATAATTTTAATGGAATTTATGCATTAGCTAATATACGTGGAGGCGGGTATGTGATGAAAAAGAGTAACCTAATTAGTTTAATAATCTAAATAATAAAATTTTAGAGAATATGGTGATAAATGGCACAACGGCGGTCGTTTTGAGAACAAACAAAACTGTTTTGATGACTTTCAACATGCAGCAAAATATCTCATAGAGGAAAAGTATACAAGAGCTGATAAACTAACAATTCAAGGAGGTTCAAATGGCGGTCTCCTAATTGCAGCCTGCATCAATCAAGCTCCAGAGCTGTTTGGTGCTGCCATATGTCAGGTTGGGGTATTGGATATGCTGAGGTATCATAAATTTACCATTGGCTATGCTTGGAAGACTGATTATGGTTGTTCAGAAGAAGAGGAACAATTTAAATATCTTTATAAATATTCTCCACTCCATAATATTACTATACCCAAAGGTAGGTAAATAATTATTTTATTAATAACAACTTCTGAATTAGAACAAGGTGTCTAGATGTTTTTTTCTCTTCCTGATGGATAAGGGAAGTGTTGTTTGTACTTTCGTGAGTACATATTCAAATACAGGTTGTCCGTTTCAAAACTTTTGTTTCAATGATGTTGTTGACGTATTTTAGCGATTTTTCCAATATTTTTCATTGGTCAAAATACCAAGGGTGGTTCCTGGTGTGTTTCAGAACCAGAAAATGATTGGTATTAGCACTAATAGAGAAAGAGTTGGTGATGTTCTACATTAAACTTTCTGGTTTTGAGCACTTTGGCGAGTTTTTGAATAGGTGACACTGTATCTTTTTACAAAAATAAGTTCTATTTGATGTCTATTTCCGTCTAAATTTGCTATCGTTTGCGGAGTGGCAAAAGTCTCTCTCGGCAGGGGGCATAACTTTCAAAAGCTGTAAAAATCAGGTATCTTTGTTTTTTTTTAAATAAAAATGTTTTGTTTCGGTACAAATCTTCTAGATCCAATTTTGAAGAAAATTTTATTGGTTGATGCAAAAACCTGGGGAAAGGGGGAGGTTCAAGAATACAACACATGTTACTTGAAACACTGGGAAATAGAGTAAAAATCTAAAATCATGTTTATCACATTCTCAAAAATATAAATTATCGCTATAACAACGAAAATATTGATAATAATTAGATTTAGTTTTTCTTCTTGGCTGATTTCTGTATTTATTAATATGTTCATCAGAAATCGTTGGTAAACCAAATCTTCTTTGGTAATTTTTTAGATGGTGTGCAGTATCCAGCAACATTACTATTGACAGCTGACCATGATGATCGAGTAGTGCCTTTGCATTCATTGAAATTTATTGCAGAGTTGCAAACCAAAATTGGTAGTTTCCCTCAACAAAAAAATCCTTTGATGATAAGAATTGAAACTAAGGCTGGTCATGGAGCTGGAAAGCCAATAGCAAAAATTGTAAGTTTCCACTTAAAATATAAGTGAAATTTGAATTTAAAGTAATCAAATATTTGTTTTTGCTCACTGTATATTATTTTCAGATCGATGAAGAAACTGAAGTTTTCTGCTTCATTTCCAAAGCACTGGATTTGCCATTTTCGGAATAAGTAAATGGCTAAGCTCAAAATGTTTTGCACATACAGATATCAATTTATCTAGGTGCATTTAAATGCGTTTGTTTTTTTTTTAATAAGTATTTAATGTTAGGAAAGAAAATGGAAAAACAACTGTATATCTACCAAAAAAATTCAGTAATATATTTGATTTGATCAATCTTTCTAATCTGTAAATAAATCTGTCCGGCCGAAATATTTCTCCATTAGATATGTTTCAACTTTACTATTGATTTTGTTAAAATGTATAGCATAGATTTATTTTTAGACAAAAAATATCAATTATTTCGTTGATGCTTTGTTTCTTCTTCAGTTCAGCTTTTTCTGCTGATCATTAAATATTTTCCCTTTTTTATCAATTAAAATTCACAAAGCACGAAAAATGAATCTACTTGGAAGATACATTATTTCATACTGTGAAATAAATTCCAATAAAAATCAAATCAAATGGGGTTCACTTTATTTTACACTCGGCAGAAAATCAAGCCATATTACCGTTAATTGACTAAACAAGACAATACAAGCAAACTTTTGAAAAAATCTAATATTCTTCTAGCCGTTTCTCTTAACATATAGGTAGGCCTAACAATGTAATATTTATACTTTTAGATAGGATATGAAAGATTCTTGTACTTAATATAGACAGTGTGTGTTGTGAAGGATTTTTGTACGTATTTATTTGTATTTGTGAGTCTTATTTCTATTTGCAGGAAATAAGTGGTCATATAAAAAATATTGTATGCAAGACCACATGCATAAAGAGTCTTTTTTTACTCTTGTGGATGCTGCCTTACGGCTTGTGCGCAAAACCATCCCAATTATGAAAAAAGCGTGTTTTATGCATTAGGTGCACAAATTACTTATAACTTTTTCCTTTTTTTTTCCTAAAGTTTAGTATCAACCGTATCACATTGTATTTTTGTTCTGTCTATTTGTCTATTGTGTCGTTTGGAAAAATAAATTATTCTTTTCTATTTTATCGTGTTTTGAGACATTTTCACAAACATTTTAGGACTAAACAAGTATTCTGTCATCAATTCAGATTTTATTATTCATTTTGAGAAGGATATTATAGATATGAATAGGTTTATTGATATAAGTAATAGAATCTTTAATTTTTTTTAGGTGTATCAAAGTACCCGAGTCGTTTTCCAGTGACGCACTTTAAGCACTCCTGAGCTGCTCTAGAGCGCCCCGAGCTGTTTATAGGCGTTCCAGTGCGTCAGACTTTCGCGCAACTGAACTGTTCGTTTTTCCTCTCCCCTGCCCTCTCAAGCACCTGCAATTTTATGGGTGTATCAAAAACATCAAAACACGACACTTAAAGTAGGGTGTGTTCCAGTGAAACATCAATTGCTTGTCTTTAAGCACCTTAAAATTCGTCACTGGAAAGCGGCTCAGGGTATCAACAATGTATTTGTAAATTTTAGAAGCCATTAAGGCATTGTTCTCTCTTCCATACCCTTGTGGCATATATTTTAATTTTACTATTAAAATGCAACATTCTGGATCAAAATATAGACATTGAAGACGTTTCACAAGATTTGGTACTTTTAATTTGTATTCTATACTTGAGCAGGTCAGGCGGTTCGCGGCAAAGAGTGGAGTGGTTTGATGATGGATAAGGAAAGGAGTAGGAGGACCTATTTAGAGACGAGCTCCTTGCTCTCAACAGCCTGCGTCGGAAGTCCGAGTGTATCTTCTTTTAGGTTGGAGATCAGAGAAAGGCGACATGACTATAGGCAAAGAGCAGACACTGATTATGTAAGAAGTGCTGATAACCTAGCCTTGGGATATCATTGACAGTGACGGAAAAATTTCTTACTGCTTAAAACATAAGCCTCAACAATCTTCATAACTTTTCCGCTGAAATTCGCCAATGAGCTGGTTGCTGCTTTAATGCAGACGAGCGAAACACATGCTCATCAAAGAAACCCCCACATCGCATTTTCTTTTCGTAGCATCATTTTAAAGATCTGCTATAGATAGATTAACTCAAAACCTAACATAAGTTATTCACTATAATTTGGATACTGTTGCTTTAAGTCCATAGAAAATGTCCTCATTTGATCCAAATGATTAAACTGATGCATTGAAACGCGGTAATGCAGATTCTCCAAATATTTATGTATTTAAACTCTCAAATCAGCTTGGGGACTAATTTGAGTCTGAGGGGTAAGTATTTTGGTAATTTTCTATCATGCACTGCTCGTCTTACTTTTCTGGCTTGGGGGCATTCTGCGCATACTCCAAAAGCCTTTGACCTACAAAGGAGAGCTGTCCGGGTCCTGGGAGTGGTATATGGAGATAAGATAAGGTGAGACCACATGTCCCCAGATTGCTAGTTCTGACACTTCCATCTCAATATATTTATGAATTCCTTATTTATGACAACGAGGTTGCGAATAATTATGGTTTGGTAGGTGAGGTCCACCACCAGAACACCAAATCTAAATTGGTCCCGCAATGCAATGCGACCCTGTCTTTTGCACCCCTACTTTTTTAACAAACTATCTGTCAGGATCAGGGTGCTGCGGGTAAAAGCTTTGAAATCATATTTTTGTTAAAAAATGCTTTTTACAATGTCAACGAGCTAATCAGCTTTGATTGAACGAGCTTCATTTTTCAGGTTTGTAGTAGGGATGTGTCTAACTCAGTTGTCATCGATTTATTGGTTTGTGAGTCTAGTATAACCGTGTCTATTTTATTGTTTAGTGTCATCAGAATTCTTTCAAATCTGTCTTTTAATTTTATTTTCTTAACGATTGTAAAATAGGTTAAAAAAGCAAGGTTATTGGCTCCCATATCGTCACAACCCCTATACGTTTCGTCCTGGGACGTCACAACAGGAGCGTGACCTGGAGGCGTAGGTGGGGTTCAGGTAGAGAGAAACTCGCTTGGTATAGGTACAATAAGATATGTATTGAATAATGATAATATTACCCTCTAGAAATAGTATCATGACGTCTCTTCTACGGAGGGAAGTACTACTTATAGGCAACTCTGTATTATGTACCCTCTGTACACTTGGCGTAACTGAAGACTGAAGCTGGGTTTGAGACAGGTCCGGAAGGGACTTTCCCAATAAAGGTAGTTTGCACTGGACCTAGTCTGCTGCGTTCAATGCTCCCAGAAGAAGCTAGGTTTGAGACAGGTCCAGAAGGGCGTTTCCCATTAAAGGTAGTTTGCACTGGGAAGAGACTTAGCTAGAGGGGATTTTCCCATTTGAGGTACTTTGCACCAGCCTAGTCTGCCGGTAATGGATTTCGGCGCGGTATTTATACCAAACTAATGCTGACTCGTCGACACACTTTAGTAAAATTGATGTACAGAGTGGTATTTATTTAAGTAGTCGTTGACAATATGGTGCTCCACAAGAATATCAGCAGTCACTCCAAAACAAGATTCTAGAAATTTTGTGTTGCGTTTAATTCACTGGACAGTGGGATGGATGGGGATAGTTGCTTCTTTAGTGAAAGTACAAGGCTACGATCGGATATCGTATTCCAGAAGCGAGATGAAGCATGCTGATGGCTCTATAGTAGGACTGATAACTCTTATAGGTGAGTGTGTTGTTTTCTTCGAGGATAGCTGAAAGTGTTTATGTTGGGCCCATATTATCATAAAGTGGATGTTTTTGAGGTGTTAGCATCGTGTTTAGGAGATACTTAAGTCATATGTATTCAAAAAAGATTTTTTTAAGCAAGTCCGGTCGCCGAGGGTTTTGACGCCTTTGACTTCTATCAGCTGTTGCGCTAATAGGTTAGTTAAGTTAATCATGTTGGTACTAAGAACATATAAGTAAAAACTCCAAATGAGTTGTCAAGCATCAGGGCGATTGGGACGAGCATATACCTCTATTTCTGATGTCCTACAGGCTACAGTTCAGCCGTTGATAACAAAACAGGAGTTACACCCTTAGATAAGGTCATTCAAGGCATTCGGCCGATTGTTTACCGTCAGTTCGTGTTTGCTGGGTTGTTACTATTTGTGGAGTGAGTTTTAGTGAACCCGGAATCCGTGACGGTATGATCTGTCTCGAATGAACCCTTTTCTAACTACTCCTTTCAAGGTTTGATGTCTAACTAACTTACCTACCGTTTTTTTTTACGTTAAATGGTGTTCTCTGTTAAAAAAATGGAAAGTCTTACGAGGACACTCTGGATCAGTGGCGACGCTAGGGTGTTACATTAGGGGGGGCCAGACTGGGCCAGAAAAATTTAGGGGGGGCACTTGTTGGGAAGCCGACACTAATATTTTTGGGGGAATCCCAAGAAAACTTGACCATATAGGAATGCCTATGGAGCGCTGAAAGTGTCTACCATTTCAGCCGCAGACCTCAACTTTCAGCGTAAAATGCATAAGCCGAACCTGAATCGCAAGCATCCCATCGAGGCCTGCGGGTGACGTCACCACTGTACTTCAGCCTAGTACTCATAACCGCGAAATTCGTTCTTTTTTGACATTCCGTCGACAATTTGACGTCTTATGCGTGAATCAAACGTCAAATTGTCGGAGCAATGTCAAAAAAGAGCAAATTTCGCGATTATGAGTACTAGGCTTTAAGCTGCTGATAGTGCGCCTAAAGCTTACTTTTCATGCATCCGTTTTTCCGTCAATCCGTTGATCCGGAGGTATTTCTATTGGTCCAATATTTTGGCGCCAAAATATTGGACCAATAGGCATACTTCCGGATCAACGGATTGACGGAAAAACGGATGCATGAAAGGTAAGTTTAAAGCTTACTTTTCATGCATTCGTTTTTCCGTCAATCCGATGATCCGGCAATTCCTTGGTCCAATATTTTGGCGCCAACATATTGAACCAATAGGAATACTTCCGGATCATGGAAATGACGAAAAAACGGATGCATGAAAAGTTAGCTTTATGAGGATGAACAATCCAGGCGGGCTTGTGTAACGGATAGAAATCGTTATCACTTTCGCTATGACACTTGCTGTCTTCTTCTTTCTTTTGGAAATCAATAGAGAGGGGACGGCAATAGCGAAAATATCTCTATTCGTTACAGAATTCCACATCTGTTAGGCCGGAGTTACCCAATTCCTTAATTCTTAATATTTGTCCTTAATTCTTAATTCTTAAAAAGTTCAATTTTTAACATTGGGGTTTTTAAAGATTAAGCGTTAAGAACAAAAATTAAGAATTAAGGAATTGGATAACACTGGCCTTAGTTTACGTTTCTTGAGGGAATCCCAGAGAAAAGCGAAAGCAGCGTTGCGGTTGCCTGTACCCACCGTATATCGAATTAATCGGCACAGGCTGCTGTGTTGTGTTGCGTTGTTGCCGGCATGAAGGCAAGTTTTCAGGGGGGGCCGGCTAAATTTCAGGGGGGGCCCGGGCCCCCTCTGGCCCCCCCTGGCGTCGCCACTGCTCTGGATATCAATGAAAATCCTTTGTCGTAGGGATGCTTATAGACACTCTTGGAGGGTTTATCAAACATTTTCAATACCTGAAAATTAATGTCAGTGAAATTTATTTGGAAATTCGGTTTTGGACTTGTTCAAGAAAAAGGTGCACCAATTTTCCGGCATGGCGGAAGACCTTTACGATAACAGGAATGATGTTCCAGCATTTTGATAACTGATTACTTCGAACTGTTCAGCCATGAGCTCTCTGAACACAGAAAACATTTGCAACTTTGCGATTGTTTCAAGCTCTCAAGCAGCCCTCCAGCGAGTTTTATCTATAAAAAAATATTGATTTTTCAAAATATATCGTAAAAACAATAATAATTTTTACCTTCGTACGACCAAAGTTCCATGAGTCGTGATCAGAGTTACGATTTGGGGAATATTTGGAAAACTGCGAGGAAAGGACTTAAAATTTCACTGATAAATGCTGGTTATGAATCAAAATACTAGGCGGATAGCGAATACGACTTTGCGGGTACCTATATTGCCCCATTATACATTTTAGAAATAAATAAGTACTTAAATTCCATTTAATTCCTGGAGGATGACTGTTAAGAATCTCTTTGTTTTGTCTAGTTTCAATTTTAAAAGTGCAAACAAAACTGGTAATCTGTTTATGGTATTGATTACTTTAATTTAGGTCAATTCAGGATAATTTTTGTTAGCAACAAAACACGCAAGTGGAATAATATTGGTTACACTCTAAGGCAAGGCGCAAATTGAGACACGTATAGCGCGAGCCACTGTAGTCGTAGGGTTAACAAACTATCGATATGAATATCGATACTATCGATTTTTTTCTTCGATAGTATCGATAGACCTGTACCAATATCGATAGTTCCAAAGTAGCCACTGTGGTAAATGAAAACATCTAAACATTGAGGGAAATATAAAGAAATCTGTAGCTGTTTTGAGTAATCTGTAATTATTTTTTAGGAGTAGACGTGCTGTACTGCCAATTTTTAAATTTTGGAGGTTGGAGGTTAATGGTTATTTAATGCTATGATGTTATTGTTGTCATTTGATAAATTTATTCCATAATTAATTACAAATTTGGTTACTTTAGGTCAGAGCAAACTATCGATAGTACAATCGATAGTTACTATCGATAGGTGAGCCATTCTATCGATATCACTATCGATGGTTTTTTTTTCCATAGTTTGTCAACCCTAATTGGTCGACACGCGCGACGTGACGCGACTCACGCCGCGACGGACAGTCGCGCGGCGCAGTTGTTCAGACAGTTTCCGTGCCGCGTGTGGTATTTTCAACAAACTTTTTTTCTTTTTTTCTAAAAAAATGGCAGAGGAGAAGTTGATAGAGGCGGTAAGGGCACACAAAGAGCTTCACGATACAGAAGATGCTAACTATATGAAGACAAAACTGAAAAATCGGATTTGGGATAACATGCCTTTCTAACAAGGCATGAAGCAAAATTTCCCCTTCGGCATCAACTGATTCTAATTGGGAACCCAAGTCCAAACAAATTTCTTTCGTCTGTGAATCAGAGATTTCCCGATGCGCTTGATGATTCGCGTCACTAAAACTGCGGCTCAATATGCGGATCACCGCGCAACGCGTATGACACGTACGTGTCGTATCTCTCGTGTCACGTCACGTCACACGCGTTATACGTGTCTCAATTTGGGCCTTGCCTAACTTGCGCACACATGTGCGAAGATTGACATTAGAGATATAACGAACAGCTCGTGTGCGCGCGTAAGCGTTTTCCCAAAAACTACCGTGGAATTTCACTTTCGTATCACGGATAATTAGGTAGCTGATTAATAAACCAGCCATTTCGTGTCATTAGTTTGAATGATGGTGGATTTCGTGGGTTATAGGACGGGACAAAATAGAAACTACCAGATATGTGGCAACGTTTCGGTTTTAATTAAACCTTTTTCAAGCCTCAATCTCCTGTTTCGTAAGTCCGTTAGGGATGGAACAAAACACCTTAGTCATTTCTAGTATTCTTTCGTTCTGAACAAACTGATTGAAGTCAGCTGAACTGATTGAACAGTGTTCTTTCGATTTCGGATCATTTCTCCCACCATACCCACCAAATGATTGCAATCAGTTTAATCTTAGCCCCAAGTGATCGCAGAATTTTTACGTTCACTTCTTTCAGATAATTTGTGAGTCCAAATCAGCTGATATAGATTATTGTTCTTTCGATGCGACAGAACTGAGCGAAGTGATGTGAATATAAAAATCACTTTCAGTTAAATCAGATTAGTTTGTTCAGTTCGATTAGATCGAAAGAATACCCCTATTGGAATTGGAATTGACATAACCTCTAAGGTTATGTCAATGACATAACCTCTAAATATAAATGATAAAATTGAAGAAAAATTATTCAAAAATACTTATTTAACGAAATAATTCACTGCTTTCCAATGACTAAGGTGCTTTGTTCCATCCCTAACGGACTTACGAAACAGGAGATTGAGGCTTGAAAAAGGTTTAATTAAAGGCCGTGGCTAAAGTAACAGAGGTGTTACTATAATTATTTTTTTAAAGTAACATCAATTCAATGTTGTCACTGATGAAAACGTTACTTTTAATAGAGGTTAATAGTAACGGAGGTGTTACTCTAATTATTTTCTTGAAGTAACGTCAATATAGCAATATGTAGATAGGTAATTACTTTCTTTGCTATAAATTGCTATAAAGTAAAGGTGATATTCTTGGTTCTTGGCATTTGTTTTAGAGTAGAAATGGAAATAAATAAAAAATAACCTGACTTGACTTTGAAGAATAGAATACTTATAAAACAGGCACAATTATAGGCAAGGCAGGAAAGACACATTTTCTTATGACTGTCAGAAAGTGACAATTTGTTACCTTTTTTTCAGGTAGGAAAATAGTAATTTCGCCTCCCTATGGAGGAAAGTAAATTATTTTCTTTCCTAGGCAGAAGTTTTTTCGCTGTAGATTATCATAGTTTTAGCTCCAAATTAAGAAATTACCTATCTTCATTTGCTGAAAAAAAATGCTTGAAGTTGATGGCCATTATTTTATACCGCTAATGATTAAAAATGAAAAACTGAATTTTCACTTTGCACACTCATAAAAAGGTAAACAATCGAATTTCACCTGCAGGAGAGAACTATACCTACACTCCCGTTCCTTTGTAAGGGCATGTGAGGAATAGGAATATGGAGACGCCGTTTTTCTCACAAAAGATTTGTATTATCAATATGTTGATTCAAATTTTTGGTTTATAAAAAATAAAATATTATTGTTATGTTGTTGAATATCACCTTTACTTAGTTTAAATTGCTTAAGAAAGTACCTACCTTTCATTTCTATATATTGCTACTATATTGACGTTACTTCAAGAAAATAATTAGAGTAAGCACTTCTGTTACTATGACCCCTATTAAAAGTAACATCAGTGACGTCATTGAACTGATGTTACTTTAAAAAAAGAATTATAGTAACACCTCTGTTACTTTAGCCACGGCCTTAATTAAAACCGAAACGTTGCCAGTTGCCACACATCTGGTAGTTTCTATTTTGTCCCGTCCTATAACCCACGAAATCCACCATCGTTAATAAACCAGTGACGATCGTAGGAACTGTCTTTTTGTGGAATTCGTGCGTGTGGTATATTCGTGACGGGCCCATTTACTAGCGAGTCGTCCCCAGCCTAGCGAGATAAGGTTAGGTTGCTCTGTTTCAAAACCCATATTTATGGTTTGTGTGCGATCGCGTGGCCTATAGAAAATTAGAATCCACTTCTTCATCGCACGTTACAAACCACAACAGTGACAAATAAACACATATTCTCAGTGGTTATTTAATATTTAATCCTACTCATTTCAATTTAATTTACAGTCTAGAATGGATTTCAATATATTTCAGACAAATTGTTATTTCTCACAAATAAATTGATATAAATACAGGATAAGACATCTTCCCAAGTGGAGTATAAAGTGCATATAAGACAACAAAGACTATACTGTCAAGTATCTTTTCTTCTTCTCCCCAGACAAAAAATGTTAAATCTATTTTTGCTCCTCTTAAATTTTGTTTGCTAAATGAAATGCTTGCTTTTTGACTTGGAACCAACATGGACTATTTGAAAATAGTATTTGTTGCTTATATGTTTAAAGGTTTACATTATTACAATAATTAAAGTTGACTTACAATCGAGCTTATATTTATTATTTGTATCAGTGGAAGACTCAATTTTTAGTACATAGCATAGTATAAGAAGAATATATTTGGAACACCAAGAATACAATACAGTTATATAAGGCTATAGGTTTTGAAAATACTTGTCAGTTATTTGTTCAAGGACTTTTTTTTATACGATTTGCTTTGAGAGTTCTCATTTAAAGCAGAATACATAAAATACTGATATACCTATGTATTGAATTATTGGTGGAATACAATTATTTTAGCCTTAACAAAACACATTAATTGATGCAGGCAATAATTTTCAAATTTATCCTAACATAATTTATTATTCTAATATTATTCGATAGTTTAATTACAAAAAGTTATTTTATACAGAAATTTATAACAATAAATAAAAAATTAGTAAGTAAGCAATTTTCTAAAATGAGTCTTTATAATATTAATCTAATTTTTTTCATTCATAACAGTAAGGGGATTACCCTTAATTTGATAATTATTCATTTCCGGTAAAAAAAATAAATATTTCTAGAACTTGCTTCATTTTCCTGGTGGAAGTTCAAGCATCAGTTACATTTGTGCGTTCATTGATCTGTAAATCAGTTTTTCTTTTTTTAATAAATATCTACCTATCTGCATCCGAGTGTAAAAAATTGGAATAGCAAGTTACACTTCTTTGTACCTTGCCATATAACATCGTGTTTGAAATATTTCACACACAGTACCTACCTAAACCAGGTTAAACAGTTTCAAATAGAAATTTGCTATTTATGTATCTTGTACAAAAACGATGACTTTGATATTATGACGAAATTACATGGGTGCGGAAAAGCCGACGCCACTGTGCACGACCGATGGAAGAACATTCAGGAATTCGCTCCCATCGTGTGCGTAAAGCGCGTAGTTTGTAAGTTGCAGTTTTAAATGAGATAATTGTTCTGTGTGGTTAAGTTGAAGCGCCAACTGATTAGTGAATTTTGTAAAGTAAATTAGTTCAAAAAAAGTTGCTGTAGTCAGTAAAGTAGTAGAGTTAAGTGGACCCGCGGAATTTGTTGGGAATAATTAGCGAGATGTATTCATTGTTAGATTGATTCGATCTTAATAAGTGAATTTTTGTTGAGCTACAGTAACATTAGTAGTGGATTTCACACCAGAAACTGGGTTCAAAAACAGGATTCACAAAAAGTGTCAGAACATTCTATAGTGTTATATTCGGAAACCAGAAGTGATACAAATAGTGACTTTATTACTGGCTTTGAAATCGAGCAAAAAATTCGGGAATTTTGACTTCGCGAATCACCACAGTCCTTTTATATTTGAAATCAAGTTTCAAGAAAGATATAGAGTATTTTCTGTTGCTGGACTTCACGAATAACATCGAAGACAAAATATAATAAGCCTGAGGAGAGGACAATAACAGGAAGAATATGACCGGTTTGCAAAACTTATTCTGCCACGTCTAAGTTGTTAATTTTTATGTTCCAAGTTTAAAGCAATTTTTTCATACTAGATGGCTCATATACATAGGTATAACAATTTTCTACTAGAACTCTTGAATACTGGATTTGGGTAACCTACAAAAGAGTGTCACTTGCTATAGTCAATTTGAAAGTTACAGTAATTAAAAACAAAATAATTTACAGATCAATGGACGCAAAATTCAGCAATATTTTTCGAATTTTTCCTATTTTATAAAAGTTTTAAAAACTTAACGAAAACTTTAAGTTTTGCTATTAATATTTACAAAAAATATTTTGGCTCCAACTACAGAGGGTAATAAGTATTCACATTACCAGTATTGTCTCGTAACATTTAAACTATTTTGACTAAATTTTTTATCGTGTTAATGGAGTGTTGAAGATTCAGATATTTAATTAGCACTTAAACGAGCCACGAAATTTATCTGATATTTAATTATGTAGGTACCTATTTTTTTTTTTTTAGAGTAATGATATGGAAGATATGTTTCCAACGAAAGCATATTGCGTAGGTATATAGAAGCATTTCATAGAAATAAGTTAGCACTATACAAAAGGGGAAAGAAAATAAAAACACGTAAACCGCAAACCACGCTATCTCTCTACACTTTGCAAATATAAAGTACTGACAAAATTTTTAGAACATGTCGAATAGTCCTGTATCAAATGAAAAAAGGAACAGATCATCAAGTTCAATTATTTATGAAGGCTGTCCGGAATGTCATAACTCTCTAACACCACAGAGATAGATGGAGCATATTCATTTATATAAGTGTAAACACAAAGAAGGTTATCTAGCGCTTAATTTCGGCGCTGAATACCGCTGCAGGTTTTCGTGCTGGTACGTAAATGAAGAACGCTGGTTAGCTGCCATTGAGAAAGCATATTATTTTGTGAGGGCAAGATGTCCAGTCCAGTATCCAGTATATCCTCCGGAGAAGAATTTCTGTTAATGGAAAATGTTCTTACACACATGCAAAGACAAAGGCATCCACTAAATCAAGAGCAAGTAGTTTAGAGAGAATGTCATCACCTCTTTCTTACTTTGAAATAACATGAAGAATGGCTCTTTCAGAGCATGCGAATGATAAATACCTACATTTAATTATATCTTGTGAGAAACTGAACAACGCCTAACAAAAATGTAGCGTTACTCGCACAAACAGCCAATTGTTTCCGATGAAAGACTAAAATAACATTTATTAAACAAACGCATTTTTCTAAGAACAAAGAAGAAATAATAATGAACGATAAATAAAAAATCAAAATAAACTTATTAAGTCACATACCTATTAAATTTCCTAGATATAAGCTCAATCAATCTGATGGTCAAGCAAATCGTTTGATAGTAATATTTGGCGTAAGTACATAAGGAAGCAAACTTTTGAAAAAATAGGTGTGACACTTCTCCCTCCTCACTCGCGATTCCTTAATAAGCCTTTTCTTGTAAATATTCTAATTTTTATCATTCGTTCATTCCAAGTTTCACTTTCCCGTTTTCTGTTATTATTAATGGTTGTTGTTGGGGTTCTATTCTCTTTCTACCGTTATTTGTTTCGATTTCGTTAGTTGCATTTATTTTGAGTACTTACCTATAATAGCGTTATCTTAATTTTGCCATGTCTTGTCTTTGTCTTGTCTGTGTCTTTGTCTTGTCAATACCTTCAATTGTCTGTCTGAATGATGAACGCCAATCGTTATTCAGCTACCATGTCGTTCATTACTTATTTGACGAAATTCGAAATAATTTCACTTGCTTAGTTTTCAACCTAGAAAACTTCGGATGTCATCAAACTGATTCCCATGTTAGAACAAGAAAAAAACATCTCATGAAGAAGTCTGTCGTTTCAGTGGTGGGGAATGTTGGTACAGATAGGAAGAATAGTCACATTCACCCCCAAATATAAATTAATAGTAAGTATGGCCGTTCGGTAATCCTACATCGGATTATTTATAACGTGGCATCTACAGACCACTAGCAACAAAATGAGGACCTAAGTCAAGATTTTTTTAAAGGGCGGAAAATATTACCTAAGACATTAGTTCCTAATATCACGGTTGCCGAATTTGAATAATCCTTCTCGCAATATCAATAAATGCATTCCTATTTACAGATATAAATACATGCGTGGTTCTTACGTTTTACGCTAAAATAGGAAATCTATTGCCAAGAAAATAGAAAATACTTCTTAAATGTAGGTAGTGGGTTATTCCTTATATTTTGACTCCCCCTTTAACTTTTACGGCATATCTACATGGTGCGAAAAAAGTTATATGCAAAAGTTGTAAGGTTTCATCTCTATTTTCACAAATCATAACCTTAAAAACAATAATTTCCATCCATCCTATAACAAATGATCCCATATATTTGCCCCAATTTAACCAAACCTGTATATCTTACCGTTTCCTACATCCCAATGGTTGCCCTCGAAAAACCGACAACCTGTATAGGAAATTCTATTCAAAAAAATCCACCTTAATAGGTATCCCATAAACTAGAGAACCATAAAAAAAAAATCACACCATGTATGGTGGAAAAGCTAATAAAGGGAGTGAAATTATAATTAATAACCCTATTCTAATCATAAATCGTTCAAAAAGTGCATGCTTTATATAGTGAGCACGTAAAGGTTAGTTGATCCATAAAAAATACAGGGTTGATTTGTTTCAAAAAACCTCGGACACGTCGATTTTTGATTTTAGTTGCCGTTTCTTTGATAATAATAACATGTATACAGGGTGACCCAAAAACAAGTTATAACTTCTAGTTTTTTTGAATGAAACCACACATTTTTTATTTCATTTTCTAGTTCTACGTTAAATTCTGAACCTATTTTATGCATCATGCCCTCTATACCTATCTTCAACTGTTTTGGAAATAGGTATTGTCAGTTAAAAATTGACTTTTTTGCAACTTTGACAGGCTGTAGAACTTAAACGGGTAATTTTAAAGCAAAACCAATTCTACATTCTTATCTTTAGCTTTTCATAAGGTACCATTAGACACGTACTTTGAATTTAACCAGACAAGTTAGTGTCAAATGATAGTTTATGGAAAAATGTACAATCGGTTTGGCTCTAGAATTATTTGTTTAGGTTTTACAACCTTTAAAGTTGCAAAAACGTCAATTTTCAACTGTCAATATTTCCAAAACAGGTGAAGATAGGTATAGGATATGATGCATAAAATAAGTTCAGAATCTAAAGAAGAATTTGAAAATAAAATAAAAAATTGGGGTTTTCATTTTAAAAAATTAATTAAGTTAGCTGTCATAACTTGTTTTTGGGTCACCCTGTATGCATGTTATTATCATAAAAAAAAGGCCACTTAAATCAAAAATCAACGTGTCCGAGGTTTTTTGAAAACAATCAACCCTGTATTTTTTATGGATGTCATTCCAACCTTTACGTGCTCACTGATATGTTGTATTTATACTATTGCGTATATCGTAAAAGTTACATACAAAGAATACTACATACAAATATAAAAATTGCAAAAAACTCTTTTATGTTATTATTATTATTGTCGCTCTCATTCATCCCTTCTCAAAACTCAGAATTTCAATAAAAAATACTGATCTTCCTATTATTCACTAAATAATAGGTATGGATTTTTTCTAGGTAGGTACATTAATTCTTATTATTTACATTTCCTATGTAGTTTTTTTAACATTAATATGTTTCATATCTGTATAAAACCGAAAAGAAAGACTTCATTGGAAAAAATACAACATACTTATCCAAAGAATTACCTAAACATCTTTTGAAAATTATACGAGCATTTTTCGGTAAATTAGCCGTGAATCCTACTGTTACAAAAACAACTTTTACTTAATTTTAAAGTCCTAATGATATATTCGATCACGATTGCATCGCAAAAAGCCCATGCAAAATGCATAAAAATAGTGTTATTAGGCGTGTAGACGTCAGTGCAACTCCCTCACCACAGATATGAATCTCTATTTCCTAAAAAAGAGAAAAGTATTAGGCAAATAGCTTAGGTGAAAAAAGCGAGATGGATAATGTTTCAGTGACTGCAACTGCCTGGTTACAGTTACGCTAAACTTGTATTCATGTTACTGGATAACCAATAAATAAATGTTTTACCATTTTATTGAATGTACAATTTATAATTCCTTCTACTTACTTCTGGATGGTAACTAATACATTTTGGTGGCCTCTTTCTGTATAGCTCCGGCCGTGGTCTATGTGCACAACCACTTTGGTCGCCTCGCGATTCATATGCTAACTCTTGGGGCGAAATACTCAGTTGTTTACTGCCACAAGGACAAAGAGTATCCACAGCTAATAATATGAGGTTACTATGAGGAATTTTTTGAACACTGAAAGGCCTGAAACGACATTTACTAAATTCAATGGTGATAATAAGGAAAAAAATTACCTTTCACATCCAGTCACGTGGCAATTGGTCAGCTTTCCTTTTAGTGGATTATTTTGACCACTTGTATTAAGCCTTTCGGGTTGTAGTGCGTAAAGTTCAACTTTCCTATCACAAGGTCTGGTACCCCATTGGCCCAAATCAACTCCTTCTAGGGGATCGGACTCAAAAGGTGGCACAAAATCAACTGGAGGTGCAGGTGCAGGACTTTTTTCGTCTAGTAATTCGTCACCGTTGGTGTATTCGTAATCATAGTTCATGTCTTAAAATTCATTAGTTTTCACATAAAAATATAAATTGGCTCCATGATACAGAATTTTTCATGGGTGAAATTTCGTTTAGAGGAAACCGGCTATATAATGGGTGTTGTTTTTAATAGTACTTAATCTAGGAGTCATTAGAAGCAACTTATGACACCAAAAGTTTTTCGCAGAAACTATTTTTCGGCATTTCCGCAAAGACGATTAGCATCGATAATGATAATGATCGTTGATACTTCATTTTTCTATAGATGGTTTCCCCTGAACGGAATTTGAGCCATTTTTAAGCTCCAAGTAATACAGTTGCTGTTCATAGACCCTTCTGAATTATTTTCTGAGTATTCACGCATTACTTTTATACACAATATCCAATAAATCATTGTCCAATATTCACTAGAACCTATACAGTTGGGACTGATGCATGTATGGAAATCATAAAAACTAGGAGATACAAGGATGCAATTGGAAAAGATTCCGTGCGCGTCCTTTTCAATTTTGTTTTTTTCAGATATTTATGGTACTAAACCATCCTATCCCTATATTCAGTATTTATCAGTTGCGGTTCCAGGTGAAGATCTGCATTTTTTTTTTTAGATTTTGTTAGTCGCTCAGATGCTTGATTTGTTTACGGTTAAAAACGAATTTGAATTATTCCAGTAGAATCAGCAGTCGAAAATTTTATTGAGGAAAAATGCATTTTCTTGACGTAGACTTCTGAAACATTTGAAGAGTTTGCCTTATGAACATGTTCTTCACACGTTCATTTATCAGCATAATCTTCCCTTGAATTGAAGTACCTATAATGAAGTTCTGAGAAAATATTTGTAACTGATATTTTGACGACGTGATAACCATTGATGAGGCTAGAAGACGCACTTGACAATGCTTTCTTTCAGGGCGGACAAACAATGTCGTTTGAAAACAATCATATTAATTTTGTACGTTGTCGCGAATACCCTTTGAGAAACCAATAACAAAAATAGGCTCATTTGAAAACACCGATATTTATTAGGCTGGAAACCATGTCGAAGTGTGGAATATAAATCCTATGTATCTAATTATTTTGTCCTTCAAAATAATTCAACTTTTGCTAAAATGGATGGGAGAATAATAAGGTATTGATTTAATTCCAAATACCTACATTGAAATAGTTCCAAACAAAGTTGACAATATTACTAAGTATAAGTGACACTTTTTCCCTTCTCGTGCGTTTTTGACTTAACTTGACTTACAGGTCTCAGAGGGTTCGGATGTTTTGCATACGATCATAAAATCCGAACATGAAGATCATAATTAGGATATCGGTTCTACATCTTCTTCAATTAACAATGAGTAGGTGAGGATTATTGCTATTAGTTTTCACAAGGAAGTACCGACTAATATTGGCATTTTTGTTGAATTGGACACCCGTCTCCATCAGTCGTGCTATTTGAGAATTTGTCCATAGAAAAAAACCAAGGGTTATCATGAACAGCAACTGTTCTAAAATATTCTCTACTTTTTTCTGGAAAAATAATATGTTCAAGCAAACTTTATACGATATTAATTGAAACATTTGAAAATTGGAGTACGGTGATTATTAAACTCACGAATTCTACCGAGAACCTGCTGGAATCCTTTAGCGTTTTATTTGTATCTGTTAAATTTTGACTGGTTAGAGTCTTGGCGCTTTATATTAGGAGCCTATATACGTGAAAATATACCCAGAAAAATCTCCAATTCTTGAAACCGACACTATGAAGTGGAAATATTACAACCGCATAAGCGTCTTTAGACTCCCCTCCCTATATACCTATACGCATGCGCATTAGTCGGCTATTTTATAAAATTTGTATGTAAGGACGCGTTTAGCTAATAGGTGGCGAAGGAAAAGAAACAAAAACAAGAAGAATGGCGGTTGGCGGTTGGCGTTGATGACAGGTGAACACTTGAGTGTGAAGGTACTCCGTACTCCTCCTCCGGGCCTGACCGATCGATAGTCGTCGAACAATAGAAGAATAATGGCGTTTTACGCAAGCGCAATCAAATCTATGTGGGACGAAGGACAGTATGCATATCACTATCCTTCAGATGATGGTTTCAAAAATCAAAATCCACTCATCAGGTAACACAAAGTACCTATAGGAATTTTTAGGTATATGATAGCGAGCATTAAATCGCCTGATTCATTGCTCGCCGGTTTTTGAAGGATGTAAACCAAATTCAAAATTTTTATCTGCTACAGGTTGTCAGAATTTTGGGTAGAGAAGTTAACGTGAACCATCCTGTATAAGTGTGAATATTTAAGGTTTAACTTTAAGGAATCATCTATTCTTTCCAAATAAGTAATTGAATTAGACAAGGGACAGAAGGGCCATAGTACATCCGCAGCACCCCAGACCGCCTAGTGTAGCATGTAGCATGGGAAAAATATGGAACTAATACGTGACATTGAGATGGATTACAGGAGTTTTTCTCTATTCTCGTCTTCCAACAGCGCACCTCCATGTCCCTCTTGTCACAAGGTTGTGCCAATATACACAGTTATATAGGTACTTATACTAGGTAGTATGTTAGTTGGAATGATTTCACGGATGGATTCCAGACACCAGCCTAGGAGGAAGAAGACTTGAAAATCGAATTGGACGATTTTGGTGAAACGTCAAGAACCAAGTGTTTCTCATCGCTCGGTGGATAACAAAAACCAAACATACTTTTCTTTTCATTTGAAAATGATTGAAATCTTGAATAAAATATTGATAGTTTAATTTATCGGGAAGGCTGCGGCGTAATCACCAAAGATTAGTTAACCAACAGTCCATTCCAGTAACAACAACGGAAATTAACCTCTAAACAAAGCTGCTCCATTTTGACATTGAGGGAAACTACGCGTTGCTGGCTAGTATACAGTAAAGTAATATAGATAACGTGATTGATACCTTAATTTATCATTTGGACGAATTTTCAGGGCAATTTACCTGAACTGTTGGTTCCAACAGTGCGTCGAATTAATAGCCAAACCAATTAACTAGATTTACAAACGGGATTTGAAGTATTTTTCACAAAATTTCTTCTTTAATCGAATAAATACCTAGGTAGGTACCTACTTCAAGAATTCTTGGTTTTGTATCAAGAATTCTGGAAATTATCTTAGTGCTCTTGTCTTGTCTTAAATTGCAGCTATCATGATTCATGTCTGAAATCAAGACGAGATTTAGTCAGAATGTTGAAATGATCAAGACATTGGCGATTGGCGACCCCTACCTGTAACTGAGTTCCAGTGATTTTATGCTGTTTCAATTTATATCCTATAGAGTAAGTTTAATATATTACTGATCTTGATTTGATTTTTTTTTGAATCAGGAAAAAAATGCTTAGAGATTTATCAAGTTGATCTTTTTGGAGTCAATCAAGTGGAAAAATAACATTACCTTCTTCTTGAGAATAAGCCAAAGCGGTAGCATAAACAGTTTGCAGTTTTGATGCTAATACAAAGAATGTGTGGAACAAAAATGTATAAACAAAATGCATTGGACCTAATGGTTGAAACTGCAGCTTCGACCCTTTTCCAGTGAAAGGATATTTACTATTTGAGCAAGCTCCTTGATAATCGTAGACTGCGACTTTTTTATAAATTCTGTCTTGTACCAAGGAGTCCATGATCGTTCCGTCGATTTGACCGAAAAATCTTCCAGTATGTTCGTTGTTCTCCGATATAATTATGAATCCATTATTGTCTAATACGTAGCAATCCAATTTATCACTAGCACAAGTCTTCTTACATGCTGAAGTACACTAGAAAATAAATATAATAAACATTTGTTTTTGGGAGACGCAATGATACAAAATAGCGCAAAGCAAATTGAGCTCGAGCGCAAAAAGCTCATGACCTGTGGTATTTTGTATCAATGAGACATGTGGTTGTACCTTGGAAGTAATATTATAAAAGTGAGAAGCTATAGAGGCATGCATATATTGTAGACCAACTACAGCTGCTGGAGCTCTATGACCTTTAGATTCGACGAACACTGCGTGTGTCGCCGTCAGCAAAGTGCGACTTTGAGTTGTATCAGAACCTAAAGGGCCATCAGCAAATGGTACCGAAAACACAAAACTCTCAGGTTCTACTGCATGCTGATCTACTGCTCGTTGATACCAGGATTCGTCTAATGCACGGGAGTTTTTCTGATTAAATGGTCTGCAATAAAATGTATACGTTCCAATATCTGATTTTTAAATTATGATTTGAACTTACGGATCCTCTTCATCCATATTTGTAAAGTTAGTCCAACGCAGTAATCCACTTCTCGTGGCCACAAAAGAAGTGGTGCTGCCAAATATATCATATCCTTGGCTGCAAATTTAATTATTTCAATATCTTATTGAAATTTATTCATAGGTTTAACTTTATTTCCATTCAAACATATATAGGTGCTAAGTATATATGAGATGGATTACGCATTTTCTCATGGAATTATATTAAGGCCGGGGTTACCCAATTCCTTAATTCTTAATTTTCGTTCTTAATTAAAAATCGAGGAAATTGATGTCAAACTTAATGCGAGTTTTGCCCGTTCCTCTAATTTTGCCGGTACATTTAGTATCCGCGAAAAATTATTTCTTTATGATAAACAATATGATTTTGTCGGGTCTGTTTGCTTTTAAATGGATCTACTGCTCTAGTTTCTGCTAATTCGAGCAGAAAACAAACCTGACTGAGAGCGCAAAACATTTTCTAGAATATAATTTAGGTGATGTATACTTGTTTTCTAACATTGGAAATGTTGATGTTCTCGCGTATATGGGAATCAAATTCGAAGTTTTTGTTCAAGGTCAAAAGACGGCGGTGTCGCCAGGGGCGTGCGGTGAAATTTGAAGTACAAGGCGACGCGTGTCGCAGTAGTGCTTACTGCGCCATGCCGGCAGATAGCAGCGCGCGGCGATGGTTATATCGTTATCTGGGCGCTCAAAATTGAAAAAAAAAACCTATATATATGGGGATTATGGGATAATGGGACAAAAATCATAGCCTTTAGCGATTGTTCTATTGGATGGCGATTTCAATAAAATAATAGATATTTACGATACAAGTGAGTTAACAGCATACTTAAGATACGCGTGTGGAAGTTGCACAACGAGTGCGTAGCAAGAGTTATGTATCGCACTGACGTAGATAAATATATAATATTATGTGTAAAATAGGTTCCATATAATGGTGTTATCATTTCCAATGTCTCCGATGGTTGCAAGGATTGCGAAATCTGTGAATTTTTTTGTCAGACATGAAATTGTTTTTTGTAACACGCACATTTTTTGTTTTTTCTAGGCGATTTTATGATTGCATATGCAACATACACAACTTTGAATACACTAGGTACCAAACATTAGTATAATTAACTGTGAAAAAACACAAATATTTTTATTCAGAAAACAAATTTCTTTTCTGTTATTTGACCAACACTGCAGGTAGCTTTTTAATGTGGAATAACCTTCACCTTACCATCCTCAGGAATGCTATAAAAAATACCTAACACATATTATTCGTAAGTAGATAGTTACTTAGTTATTTATATATTCATATAGGTTTACAATTGTATCGGAAATAATTAATACCGACACCAGTGACTCGGGAAACAAGCCCTAAAGCTCTCAAGCACGGTGGCTCAATTAAGTACTTTATCAACGCGATTAGGCCGCACTAGACGTGTCTAGAATTCTACTATGCATACATGACACAAAGGTTTTATGCCTATAAAATAAGGAATTCCAAAATTAACCATGAACGGCCATTTTGGATCAGACAAAAATTAACAGTACACCCACCGAGGAAATCTTTGAATTTATCTCTTATCTTGGAAAAATCGGTATTCTGTATGTATACCATATTTTAAAATATTATCTATTAAGTCTAATCTCGAATATTGTTACTACTCATTAACTAGATACTAAATACATTTATGTCGGTAGATACCACAAGTTTAAATGGGTGAATTCAAATACATGGTTCATTTTTCTTAGTAAGAGTTCGCGAAACGGGTTCCTATTGCAATAGGAAAAGGCAGATCAACATTTGAAGTTATGACTTTCCCGTTTTATTATTTTTCATCCATTTAAAAAAGCGAACATGCCAAAAAAATAAATAAATATTCTGTTTTTGGCAAATTATAAAATAATGTCCATTTATATAGGTATTTTGAAAAGAAAAAAAATTACTCAAAATCCTTGATAGATACCTGAGATTTGTCATATCAACAAAAAATTGCTTGATAATAAATATACCTATATCTATATCTATGAAAGATTTTGACTAAAATTCAAAGGCAAAATAAAATTATTTAAAATTATCCATAATTATTTCCTAAACAAAAAGTTCTTGTCAATGAAAATGTTTACCTTTGCAATTGTACCAAAAGTGTGCCAATAGGGCTAATGTGCGGAAAATTAATAAAGTTAAAAAAAAAATTAACAAATGGTGCAGAAAAATATATTTCAAAGGTACTTCATAATATCATCAATTATGATCTGAAATACTTACTGCTTGTCTTCCATTCGAGGCCGATGTTTTTCCAAACTTTCCGTTACCATTGCGTCTAGCACTAGTGACTGTATTAAAGTTTTATCACCTAAAAATATTTCTATTTATATTAGATTATTGTAATGTTCTCAGATACGTACAATAATATGCGTCCTTATCTTGCTTCATAGAAAAATGATGATGCTCTCGCTGCATTGGAGATGATCTTGGTCTTAGAGACATCCACTTCCATCCAGGTCTTCTGCTCCGAGACAAAAAATGCAGCACCCTTTCTTCTGCTGATTTAAACCACTGCTCACCGGTCGTACCACTGGTATATTCACAATATATCCTGGAAAAAATGAACGTGTTCTTAAGTTTAGTAATTCGCTAGGGAAGTAGATAAGTATATAGTATATCGGAGATATTATTATTGAAAAGTCGATTAAATAATTTATATAATATCGAATTCTCAGAGCACGATATTGTCATCACACTCTTACAGCAAGTGCCATAGCGATAGGGATAACGATCTCTATCCTCTACAGAGTCCCAGCCCCAACCTAGAGCTCTATAATCCATGTTGGCGAATGCTGCCTGGCCTATTGGCCTGTAATGACCACCGGATGGTTCGAGAACTAATGTCATTAAAATTACCATCATAAACAAACGAAGGAAAGCACACAATGCAGGGTTAATAATTGACAGAAAAAATGAGAAATTGTGCGCTGCAACAGCTACACTGACAGCCTGCCAAAAGTCCACCGGCTTTGATAAAACAATAAGAAAATAGGAAATTTAAAACATCATGGATCAGAAGAGAAAAGCCTACAATACTTGGCAATACGACCAAAATGGACTGTTTCGCTAAAATTTAAATACCTACGTAATTTAAGCATAAAATATTAAACGATGGACTACCTATTTTAGGTATTTTTTTTAAAGGGACTATGATACGATGATATTAAACAAGTTTTCTACAGGCACTTCGAAATTGAACAAAATTAAAATCATTGAAACAGGCCAGACGATGACATATTACAAAATAATCCAATCAAATGTAGAAGCGTGCTGCGGCCGCAAGGCGCAAACATCTATTGTGGCTGCTGCTGGTAAAAGGTTTGAAAAATCATGCGGCTTAATCCGCGATACTTATCCAGTATTTCAGAAAGGCCATTTCATGATTACTCACTTAGAAACGCGGAGCATGATCTTCACCTGCCCACCCCATCTTCCGAATAATATTAACAGCTCCATTCTGTACAACAACAAAAAAATTCATACGGAACACTGAGACGGACAGATCTGCGTGACACCTCTACTCTATTGTGGAAATAAACGAGGAATATCACTGCTCTCTACAGCCGAAGAATTCTTGCCAGGATTCTCTCCAACTGACTTCTTCCTTTGGCCGAAGCATCCCTGTCTGAAATATGGTATTGCTTCAGGCCAAATCGAGGTGCAGTGAACAATAATAATGTTCAGCGCAAGACAAATGCAAGAAAAATCGAAAGAGCAAAAATCAAAGCGCTGTACATTGCATTTATATAGATCTTATCAAAGCGTTTGACTCTTTCAATCGAGTAGCTCTTTGGAGAATACTGGAATTGCATGCACGGCTGTCCACCTGCATTTATCAACATAGTTTATTCACTGTATGACAATATAAACGCCACTGTCCTTACCAACAACGGACCTGAAAAAGTTTTGATGATCGCAACCTGACCAAGGGTATCTCATTGAGTTTATTCTCTATATTTGTAGGAATCGTACTTCGCTTTGTCGGATGAAACCTGCCGTTGGGTGTGAACTTTAGTATGCTAATCATAACCTCATCCTGACAAACACAAATGAAGAATCACAAACTACGCTAAATGCATTAAAGCAAGTATATGAAAGCAGTGGTCTGGACCTAACCACATAAACACTTTTACCAAGTTGCCCCAAATTTTAATTCACCTGTAACTATCAATGGAGTACCTCTAGAAAATGTAGAATACTTTCCATACCTCGGCACTCATCTTTCAAACAATGCAATAATTATTGACACAGGAATTCAAATCCGACTAAAGCTATGGTTTATTTATTACCTATAAGCGACGCAAAGTAGACAGTCAGCTGTACGCAGCAGACGAGTTGGAATCTAGAACACAAGAAGACGCATAGCCGGTTTGTAAGAATCTGCTAAGGTAGACGCAAGTGCTAAGCAAGTGTGTTTTTTAACGAAATTTAATAAAATGGTCAAGTTTTCACCAGAGGAGGATGAGAAATGTATCGAACTCGTACGAGATTCATCTCCAAAAAGTTTTTGAAGTAAAACTTCTTAGGCGGCGTTCTGATATTTGGACGACAATGGATAGTGATTTGTAAAACGCGTCACGGGTAAATTTTGTTACTCTCGAGTAACGTAGTAAGTAAGTATATTAAAATTATTAAAATATTATTAAAAATGATATTAGAGACGGAGAAAAACAGTCATTAATTGCCACAAATCAAGCATTATAAGCGCAAAGAGAATTGTCTATTATTGTCAAACGCCGATACCCCTGGTGACGTCACTAGAGATGCCCGCCTCCCTTTTGTTAGACTATTATCATTGTGTTTTGTGATTATTTTCGTTATTCATACATTTGTGTCCTGTGCTTTTCAAAGTGGTCGGTCTGATACTTGGGCGAAAATGAGAGTGATTTGAAAGACGCGTCGCGTTTTGGCAAATTTTGTTACACGAAAGAGAAGAAAAATATAACGCAGAGGGACGGTGAAAGACAGCCAATGACAATGACAGCCGATGGACGATTGACAGAAACCAAGGAATTATAAGCAAAGATGATTGCCTATTATTGTCAAGCGCCGATACCCTTGTGACGTCACTACAGATGCGCGTTTCCCTTCATCTTTACCCCGACTCATACGCAAAGTCTAAAAGTTATATGAGGGGGGATAGTTTTCAAGAAGTTTCAGTTCTACCACGTGTACGGCGCTGCAGATGAGTTTTTTTGCTATTGTTGTCTTGTAAGCATCTTCCAAAGGTCTGTTAGGAAACATTCGATGTTCTCTTTTATTTTGTCGACGAAAACCGATGTAAAACTTCTTTTTCGAGTGGTTCTTCTCCGAAAAGTAGTAAGAATTGTTCATTCACAGCCATGATAAAAATAAATTTTCCGAAATAATATATTATATATTATTGTCTGGTCTGCACTTTCCACCATACACACTAATCTTAATAAAACATCCTTCATTCAAAACCGATAAAATTAAAAATTTTAATGAACGCTCTTTAAAAGCTATAAGCTGAGCTGGCTTCTCGATAATTTTGACATTTTTTTTATTTAACCACACAACAATTTTTTTTCTGGTCAAATCGCTTTCGATCAAATTTTACGTCATTTTGAGATGATCCTCTCCCTTGCTGGCAGATTCGATTCACGAAAGCGAAAACGCCTCATTGTTGCATGATGGAGATATCCCTGATTTGCGACTTTTACTCACTCTTCACTCTTGCTACTCTTCTTTCTAAGCTATATTAATTAACATCGCGAGACCGGTAAGTAGTGCATGTCGAGCAAAGTATGTGAACTTGTGTAGAGAACTGCAAAACACTTTCGAGTCGAGTTAGGCGCAGAATTTTTTCTACGACAATGTTGAAAAGTCAATTTTTTAACGTGTTTATATTGGCCGAGTTTGTTTTTTTCATCTTTTTCGTCGATTATTTGCTCCGAAATTTTGACAGGCACGTGATTTGTAAATTGAAACTATCTTATCTAGTCACGTGACTGTCCAAATTTCGGAGCAAATCGACGAAAAAGATGACAAAAAGGAACTCGGCCATTGATTTAGATTTTATAATTTTGTTAGATGATCGATTTGATCGTGGATTCATAAAACGCTTTAGCTGTCACTAAAACTAGTATATTGCAGCTCACTAACTAAGGGTGGGTATTATAAAACTACTTTGACAGTTAACTTAAAAGTTAACTTCTGGAATGACGTCACTTCCCATAGTAATTCCACAAGTTAACTTTTTGCTATCTGTCAAAATATAGTCTTATAATACCTGCCCTAAATGTTTAATTTTGGGAGTTCAAATTAAAGCTGTAAAGTAAATATGAATTACCGATAGAATGAAATTAATGACTGGAATAAACTAATCTAAAGTAAAAGATGATGATAAACTTAAAACATTATGTTTTTACTTACCAATCTGGATGAACTCTCCATTTGTTTCCTTTGAAATAATCCGTAACTGAGAAAAATATTATTTTAAAATTGGTTTATTTTATGTTTTTTTTTTTTCTATAATATAGATAATAATATTGTTACGAATAAAGACAGGTCGAGTGAAATTCTTCTCTTCATAATCAGGAAGGATATGGGAAGCAGCGTCCTCGCCGGGAAAAAACCATCGGCAAAGCCAGCGTGCAAAAAGCTTTTGGCTGTTGGCTCGACATCGGCTTTTGGCATCCTGCCGCTGGCGAAAGCCTAGACCGGCGAGGACGCGGCTAAAGATTCTAGATGTTCTGGACAATTTCAGAAAAATCTTTGAAGTAGTAAATATGTAGTGCTTTGTTTATAGACAAGTGGAATAAGTAAAAAGTAAATAAGTTATTGTGGTTATTATCGACTAATGGGTAGGTACGTTCACCAGCACTCAACTGTTGCCAACAGTTGAGTCGCTGGGAAAAGCAACAGCCGCTTTTTGTCAGCTACTGCCGATTTCTTTAAGCGGTGAAAGCACGTGAAAGTTTAGGCTTACCAACTCAACTTATGCTTTAGACATGCGCAGAAGTGTCGGACGTTCAGGAAATTGCTTTACGCTGCAAGTTATCTGCTGAGTACTAGTGAACGTACCCAATGATTGTGAAGTGATTATAGCGTTAAAATAAAAATATAATTTTTAAAGTGTAAGGTATTGTTAATTCGAACAGAGGATAAAAGCATACAAATTGATGTCAAGAGTGAGATTTACTAAAACGAGCAGTAAAGAGATATAAACTAATTGTCGAACTGACCAATCCGCCAAAATGGAAGACCATATAAAACACATGCTCTCTTTATTGAAAAATGAGGAGGACAGGAGAAAAAAAAATAAGATGAAGAAAAAAGAAGGAAGAAAGAAAACAGGAGAAACAAACTCGGCTTCAGGAAGTTCTGCAGAAACAAGAAGACAAATGACTCAAAGGAAAGCAAACAGAACAGGAAGAACTCAAAAAAAGTTTGCAGAAACAAAGAAGGTTCTCGATGTTGGATCCTGGGTGAAAGTTATGCATACTCATCAATGATATCTGCTCAAATTGAGGTCGACTGTTGCGAAGCGGTACTATAAACAATCCCCATTTTTCATCATGAGGAATGCGAATAGCTCATTATAGCCTTGAAGTGACGATTGACGATGCGGACACAAACTCCGAAGACAGAAATACAGAGAATAGTGCTCATGACCAAATTTGATAACAGAAGCGAATCCTTGGATAGAGCAAAGTAATTTCAAGCGCCCTTTATTACTATTAGTAACTACATCAAATTCGATGTAATTCGTACGAGCCGGAACTACCACAACGATCGCCTCGCCCCATATTGTTTATACTGCCTGCTCTCACAAAGAAAACTCTTAAAAAAAACCCTCGACACAAAAATCGTAACATTGTAAATTAGTGAATACGGATTGATCGGATTTTGCTTATATTAAGTACCTACCTACCTATAAATTGTCTAGTGAAAAATGATGCTGCAGTTTGCATTCATATTTCTTGAGCCATACTTGTACGAAAAAAAAATATCTCTTTACGCACTATAACGGTAATCAGCATGGATAGGTACTTTTGGAAAATAACACGGCGAATTATCGTAGAAAAGCAGCAACAACGATTTGGAATAAAAATTCTGTTGAAACATGTATAGGTAGCTCATAGAAAGGCGTGTAGAAACCACTGATCATTTATGGACACTCGTTATACGTTCCAGGTTCCCGAATGATAGGGTAAGCACCTGTTTGATATCTGTGTAGACGCTTTCACTTCTCTTTGAGTTACTTAGGCCGTGTTTATGTTGGAGCTGTGATAAACGATAAAAGCAACGATACTAGCGAAGCAACGAAATACAATGCTTGTTTGTACGCAGGTGCCTATGTTGGAGCGGCGAGTAGAGCAGCGCTTTTTTGTGGACCAGCGATAAGAGCGGCGAGAAGCAATTTTGTATATTTCTTTGCTTTTATCGACTATGAGTTTATTAAGTTTTAGTTTTATAATATTATTATTTTGCCTGGGTGAACGAGGGAGACGAGGGAGTGTCTTTACAATAGTATATAATGCAAAATGCAACGATCATGTAATGATAGTCATTAATTAATACACGAGCATGTTGTTTTGTATATGACATGCTCGTGTATTAATGGCCATTACATGAGAGTTTCATACACTTTTTTTGATAATAGTAAAAATTCTTCATCAGAATCACTCATTTTTAAAGGCAACACTTCGGTCAACTGCTTTTACTTGACTAGTATCGCAGCTCCAACATAAACGCATCGAAGAAGGATACTTTTGAATAGCTCTTATCACCGCTATTATCGTCGCTCTCATAGCTTTTATCACAGCTCCAACATAAACACGGCCTTAGGTACATTATAGGGAGTGAAGTATTAGTGAAAAAGTTTTTTTGGTTATTTGAAGGCAGGATAAATCGTAACAATATTATTAAATGTATAGGTGCATTTTTGAATTGAATTTTATATTGTTCAAATAAATATACTTTACCATTTTTCTGTGCATGTTTTATCTCTTGTTCAGCTACCAACTCATACATTCCATAACCTTCAGGAATTGCTAGCCCCAATGAGAAAGGGGTCCCTTCTATCCGATTATAGAAGTACTTATATCGTCTCGTAGTAACCCTTCTCTATCAAAAGAAACAATTGAAAATTGGGATGTTAGATTTGCGTGTATTTAATTTGAACTCACCATCTCGTCATAGTGAATTTTTAATGTAAGCTCTGTTTCTCCTTCCTTTTGATTGATCATGTCTTGTCTTAGCTATAATTTGTTAATTTTGTTAAACAATACACTACAAAAAATTTATCACTTACATCAAGGAGAACACTATGATTTTCTCTGGGTCCATTTTCATTTTCAACTAGTTCAACTTCAGAGAGATCAACGGACAAATATTGTGGTGCTAGAGTTTCGTCATATTTTTCACTAGCTCTCTGAAACAAGATGTGAAAAATCTAACATGCCTATTATTTTATTCAACATTGTGCTATTTCTACACGTAGGTATCTTCTCCAAGAAATGAATTTTGTAGTTAAACTTATTTTGTGAAGCCGTTTATGGTAAGGATGGCAAATTGTGCACAACTGGCAACACCGCATAGGGGGAGTGACTCCCCAAACACGAAGTCTCAACCTACTCGGGCTTGAAATAACAGAGATAGGCCTCAAACCAGTATTTTACGAGCACATTGTGTCGCACAACTACGCTATATTCCAAATAGTAGGTAAAAGGAAATGGTTACAAAACTCAAAAGCTAGTTATGTACACTCTATACATGGCCTCTTATGGATGAGAACCGTAACAACAATCCGACTTCGAGCGACCCACACGATTATTACTGCTGACTTTACATTTATACCATTTTATTTAAGCCATTGTAACGGATGAAAATTCGTCTTTATTCATTTGTATTTCGAGTAATAAAGTCCCTGCTTTTAAAAGTTTGTTTTTTAAAAAGTAACTTGCCCTAATCGAACCTAAAATTGGCGCAGTCGGTAGGATTTGCCAAAACGTCGCGTTATCGTCGAGACAAAAATCGCTCGTAATTTCGCAAAAAGTTCCGTTTACGGTTAATTTGGCAATCATCGTGGTTCCGGGCAACAAACGGCGAAAATCAAACTGAAGCAGTAACTGGTGGAGGACCACATCGCCAAAACCAGCTAGTTTAAGAAATCTAGGGAGTTGAAGACAAAAATCGCTTCTTTCCTCTTGGAACAGTAGTTAAGTGTAGAAAATAAGTGAAATAAATGCTACAGGAATGAAACAAATCATTTTTCTATTAATGTAAGTAAATTTTAAGTTTATTTTTATAGATTTTTGCTCATTTTTTATAAAGTCACTATTTTTTCTTTTTGCTTTTTAACGATTTATGTCTGATTCTGAAGACGAAATCGAAAATATCATAAATAGATTTAATTTAATTAATTTTCAAACAACAAATCATAATAATCAACAACCAACTTTAAATTTACCAAATAATACAATGCCTAACCAAAATCAACCAATCAATTACCAATTGTTACGTTTGTATGTGGACACTATTCCTCCTTATGATGGAGATCCGCACACATTAACCATTTTCATCAATAATTGCAGTTGTCTTATTAGTAATTTCCATCGTGACAATGACGATGTTCACAATTATCAGGTCGAGCCCTCAGCTTAATTGGTTCTCGAATTAACGAATTAAAAACTTGGAACGATGTAAAATTTGCTTTAGAGTTAAGTTTTGGTGATCAAAGAAATTTGGATTGCCTTGTTCAAGATTTAATCACGCTATCACCTAATAAAACCGAAACACCTTATAATTTTGGCATGCGATGCCAAGACGCACGTTCTTTGGTATTCTCAAAATTAAACTCATTGAATTTAACACAAGACGAACTTGACATCAAAACTCAAAACTATAACGATCTTGCCTTAAAAACATTTATAAGAGGTTTACCAGGTCAGCTACAAAATAATATCCGTTTACGAGACCCTATAAGCCTTGAAAAAGCAATGTCTCTCGTGATTGAGGAAGAAAACTTCTTATACAGCCAAAGTCGTAATAATTTACTTAACTTTCAAAACTTCAGACTAAACCAGAGAGTTACTCCTGCTAATAACAATAGCAGCAATAATCACCCTCGTAACAAAAATATTAACTACCAAAATAACCAGCAAACAAATCTCGCATTTCAGAGACCACCATTCAATAACAATCACAGGCCATTTGGTTTCCAATCATCAGGACCAAATACATTTTATCCAAGACCAAATAATACATTCCAATTCAGACCAAATACATTCCAACCCAATTATTCACAATTTAGACCCAATTTCCAAAGACCATTTTTCTCTGGCCAAAAACCGAGCCAAATAATTCGAAATAATCAATTTCGACCACCTTTCAATAATCCCAATCAAAACAATCAGAATAAACAGAAACCCGAGCCAATGGATACTTCATCTGGCAACACAATGATTAACAATCAAAGACAACAACCCAAATATACATTCACAGAATTAAACCAACAAAGTATTGAAAATAATCCTTATGATCCAAGTCAATACTTTGATTATCAAAATATGATGAGTCATGCCGATAACTTTGATTATTCATATTTATACCAAAACGATCAAGATCAAAATTTCGATCCAAATGACCAATATTCTTTTGATAATAATTATTATCCTTCTAATGAAGAAATGCCATATAATACTTATAACCCATACGCAGAGTGCAACAATGTAAGTAACTTACAACAGTCTGAAATTTCGACAGCCAGCACTTCTCAGGAGGAAGCTGATGAATTAAATTTTCATATAATCACATCCAACAACAAAGTAACTTAATTAACTTGAACGTGACCGCAGCAAATTTGCCTTATCTGTACATCCCTGAAATAAAAGCAAATATCTTAATAGATACAGGGAGCACTAAAAGTTTGCTGTCTTCGAAAATAGTTAATAAATTTTACAGAAATTATACTTTTCAAGAAGAATTTCAGATTCAAACACCTCACAATATTTCTTATCACGACCAAGCAGTATTAATACCAAGTTTTGATATTTTTAAAGACAAGAATAAGCATAAATTCTTTGTTTTTGATTTTAGCAAAAAATATGACGGACTGATTGGCATTGATTTGTTAGCACAACTACAAGCTGTATTGGATGTTAACAAGAAATTATTAATCACTCCGATTGTAAAAATACCAATTATTTTTGAATTGGAAAAAATTAATACAAGTAAAAGAATAAGTAACTTTAATTGTTCTATAACTATTCCTGCTAGAACACAACAAGTGGTAAAACTGCCAGTCAAGTACGAAAAAGGTCATTGCATTCTAAATTATATTAAATTCGATGAACAAATAGAGTCACCAGAAGCTATTACTAATATCGAAAATTATTTTGCAACAACAACCATTATTAATTCTAGATCAGAACCAATAACTATCAAAATAACTGCACCTTTTAATTCAGAATTACTGAATGTTAACGAAATCAATTTTATAGAAAAAATGGAAGTTGACGACGTTATTGAGGTTGACCCTTCCAAAGATAATCTACTGAAAGCTAATCTTAAGAATCTCAGATTACAACATTGCAATTCCGAAGAAAATAAAGCTATAAGAGATTTATGTTTAGAATTTAGAGATATCTTTTATTGCGATAAAATCCCTCTAGCATTCACCAATCAAATTCAACATAAAATCAATTTAACTGATGATACCCCAATCTTTACTAAGACGTATCGTTATCCCGAAGTCCATAAGGCAGAAGTAAAATCCCAAATTCAGAAAATGCTTGATCAAAACATCATACAAGAATCATTTTCACCATTTTCTAGTCCTATATGGATAGTTCCAAAAAAATTGGACGCTTCCGGTAAACGTAAGTGGCGTTTAGTAGTTGATTATAGGAATTTGAACTTACGAACGATAGATGACAAATATCCACTTCCGAATATCAATGTCATCCTTGATAAATTAGGCAAAAGTCAATATTTCTCCACTTTAGATTTGGCCAACGGATTCCATCAAATTGAAATGCATCCTGAGGATATTCAAAAAACCGCTTTTTCGACTGAGAATGGTCATTACGAGTACAAGCGTATGCCCTTCGGTCTAAAAAATGCCCCCTCCACATTCCAACGAGTAATGGACAATATCCTTAGAGGTCTCCAAAACGAGGAATGTCTAGTTTATCTTGACGATATTGTCGTCTTTAGCACATCCCTTCGTGAACACATTAGTAGATTGAGAAACATATTTCTTCGACTACGTCAAGCAAATTTTAAGGTCCAACTTGACAAATCGGAATTCCTTCGCAAAGAAGTAAGTTATTTAGGACACGTTATTACACGTGATGGTGTCAAACCAAATCCAGACAAAATTGATGCGATAAAAAAATTCCCGATACCTAAAACACCCAAGGAAATTAAGAGCTTTCTAGGCCTTGTCGGTTACTACCGAAAATTCATTAAAGACTTTGCACGTATCACAAAACCTTTAACTAAGTGCCTCAAAAAGACCGAAAAAGTAATTCATGATTCAAATTTCATACTAGCCTTCGAAACATGCAAAAATTTATTGATCAACGCACCAGTACTTCAATATCCTGACTTCACCAAGCCATTTGTTTTAACAACAGATGCTTCGAATGTAGCCTTAGGAGCTGTTTTGTCCCAAGGACAAATCGGATCTGATAAGCCAATTGCTTTTGCATCCAGAACCCTGAATGACAGTGAAACACGATATAGTACCATTGAAAAAGAATTATTAGGCATAGTTTGGGCTTGCAAGTATTTTAGGCCATACCTTTTCGGCCGAAAATTCACAATATATACTGATCATCGACCTCTAGTTTGGTTATTCACAATGCGTGAACCCAGTAGTAAGCTCATACGCTGGAAACTTAGATTAGAAGAATTTGACTTTACCATTGTGTATAAAAAAGGAAAACTCAACGTAAATGCTGATGCTCTTTCAAGAATTCAAATCAATACCCTCGAAAATAAAATTGATACAGAATCAATGATCAATAATCCAGGCGATATAGATCTAGACCAACAAAATACCCTTGAGTATTTACGAAATCTTGCAGAGAGTTTTTCAACATACGATATTGATAACGACAAAAATACTGAACCAAATCAAACCAGTAATGCAGAGACTATTGAAACCCACATACCAGATTTACCTGATATCACTTTCGAACCAAGTACTTCTAAACAAAACCATGTAAAAATAGTGTCAGATATCCAAATTAAACCTCCTAAAAAGCCAACTAACTCTGATTTACAAACAGTACACACTACACAAAACGAAACAACTAATAATGGAATAAAAATTTTAGACGAATTGATTAACAATAAAGTAAATCAAATCCTTGTCTTCCCACATGCCCATAATAAATTGGATGTTAAACAAGAAAATTATGAACATCATAAAATAATTACTGTGAAAATCCCTAAAATCAATAATGAAAAATTAATTTTCCAATTTCTCCGAGACTATACAATCACGGATAAAACATATTGTATGTATTTCCATACAGCTGAATTATATCTTCAGTTCAATCAAATTTATCTACAACATTTCTCTGACCATGGCCCAAAATTATTAAGATGTACCAAATTATTAAATACCATTACTAATAAAGAAGAACAAATTTTATTGACAAGAAATCATCATGAAGGAAAAACTAATCATCGTGGTATCAATGAGACCATCGAATACCTTAAACGAAATTATTACTGGATAGGTATGAAAAATACTGTTTCCCAATATATCAATGTTTGTGATATATGTCAACGCGCTAAATACGCTAGGACAAAACCCTATCACCCATTTGTATTGACTGAGACACCCTCCAAACCTTTCCAAATAGTTCATATGGATGTATTTTTCTACAACAATAAAATATATCTAACTCTAGTTGATTCTTTTTCCAAATTTGCTCAAGCGATAGAAATTCTCAGTAAAAATGCCATCAATATATCAAATGCATTGATTAAGTATTTCTCTTATTGTGGTATACCTGAAACCTTGATAGCTGATAACGGCACAGAATTCAATAATGACACGGTTAAAGAAATCATGAAAGTCCATAAAATAAAGATTCATTTTACCACACCACAACATCATGAGTCTAATAGTATTGCTGAAAGATTCCATTCAACAATAATAGAACATTTACGTCTATTAAAAGAATCATTTCCAAATGATACCAGTAGTCTGATGGATTATGCTATTATAGCTTATAATAGTTCCATACACAGCGCTACAAACCATACCCCTTTTGAATTAACACACGGACATACTAACTCTAGAGACCCAAATGAGATTTTCATACTAAAAGAATTTTATAGCGATTATGCCGAAAATCATAAAAAGAAATTAGAACATGTTTATGAGAAAGTTAAAGAAAATCTTATAAACAACAAGAAAAAGGTAAACTCTAAACACAACGTCAAAGGTGACGAAAATCGAGCTTTTAAATTAGACCAAATAGTGTTCAAACAAAATCCACTCAATCGAAACAAGAAAAATAATAAATTTATAGGACCATACATAATTACGCAAATATTAGAAAGAAATCGAGTAGAGATAGCAAGAAAAGATAATCTTAATAAAAAAGAAATTATTCATGTCAAGGAATTAAAACAACCTCCTTGTATTGTTTCAGACTTGCTACCTACACCCTAGGCGAACTAGACAAACCAAAATATCATGACTTGACTGATAATCCAGGATTATTGCCTCTGAAACTTGGCAACGCACAAAATCAGATTAATTCTTGGACTTTTATACAAGTTTTCGACATATCAGGAATAATCGATAATTTCTACATATTAAGTGATCAATATGAACGTATCGAAAGAGCTTTTGATAATGACACCACATTAGTTAAGAAATATAGACACATTTTCGAAAATTCTCATAATTTAATGCTATCTTTTAAAACCAAAATAATGACACAAATTATGACACTAAACCCCGTACTAAAACCTAGACAAAAACGAGGACTTATTGACGGTTTAGGATCAATAATAAAATCAATCACAGGTAACTTAGACCAAAACGATGCTAAAAAATATGAAACAGCTATTGATACTCTATCAGGGAATCAAATGAAAATTAAAACCTTAGTAAAAGATCAAATCACACTATTTCAAAAGTCAATCCAAATATTTCAAGATAATATCCAAAATTTAACTAAAAATCAAAAAATATTGGATAAACGTGTTGAAGAAATCGAAACGGTTTTAAACACAAGAAAAAAAGAAGATGCGAATAATTTCTACTTCTTTTATATCGAAATGATAATTTCTCAAATAGCGACCGAATTTCAAACTATCTATGATATCTTAGAAAAAATTGAAACTGCCATTACCTTCTCCAAAATAAATACCTTCCATAATTCAATAATTAACTCCAACGAATTGATAAATGAAATAAAATCAATTTCTATTCACCTGGACGATAATAAGTTACCATTCGAACCAAAAATCGAGAATTTGTTATTGTTTGAAAGAATACTAGAAATCAAAAGCTACGGAAAAGGTAATCAAATAATATTTATAGTTAAGATACCGATAGTTGAAAAAGAAAACTATAATTACTATCATTTATATGCACTGCCTATTGACAAAAATGATTCTTTTAAATTAATAATTCCAAACAACAAATATTTGATTATCAATGAGCAAAATCATTATTTCTCTGATAAACCATGCATCGAAATCATTCCTGAAGAATTTATCTGTCACGAAATGGATCCCACTAAAACTACAGAGGATTCACCATGTGAAACCCAGTTACTAAAATTCTCCCAAAACTTGTCAAATTGCCACCTGGTTCCTGTAAAAGTCAACCAACTGAAAATTCAGAAGATTGAAGCCAACCAATGGATAGTACTGAGTCCAGAACATACTGTGGCAGCTCAAAAATGCGACAACCAGAACGAGAAGATACCCTTAAAAGGAACATATCTAATTGAACTCCCTCCTAATTGTGAAATCGAAATAAATAACATTTATTTGAGAAACCTTAATAGTATTAAACGTCAATTCAAAAATATTAACTTTCCCAAATTAAATTTTGAATTATTAAAAGATAAAATTGTCACTAATATCAAACCTATCAAATTAGATGATATAAACTTAAATGAAATCAATTCAGTCAAGAACGCATTAGAAATCGAAGAAAAGAAGATCAACCAAATCGAAGAACAAGCAATCAACTTCAATACTATTAATGGCTGGACAATAATAACTTATCTAATAATTTTTGTAATAATTATCTTTGTCCTTTTTAAGCTTTACAAGGATAAGATATTTTCAAGAAACTCAAGAAAGAAGAAAGAAGAACCCGAAGAAGAATCCCCCAGCCAACCATTGCCAAATTTTGGCCCTAACCCCAGAATTTTACACTAAGGGCGGAGGAGTTATGTACACTCTATACATGGCCTCTTATGGATGAGAACCGTAACAACAATCCGACTTCGAGCGACCCACACGATTATTACTGCTGACTTTACATTTATACCATTTTATTTAAGCCATTGTAACGGATGAAAATTCGTCTTTATTCATTTGTATTTCGAGTAATAAAGTCCCTGCTTTTAAAAGTTTGTTTTTTAAAAAGTAACTTGCCCTAATCGAACCTAAAATTAGCTACTTACCGGTGGCTTTAGGTTGGGATGGTACAAAATGTGCCCATTATTGTTAACTATAAATGAATAGCCATTGACGCCAAGCTGAAAACCAAGAACCGATCTTAAAAAATTATAACATCAAATTATACAAGGTGTTACCTTATAGGGTGGCACAAGTTTCTTAATTTCATCAACAGAAACATCGGTTCCAACAACGCCAAGAATATTGGCCACTCTTACCTAAAATAAAAATATGTGTTTGTTGAGTTTAGTTCAATATATTAGGCAATCAAAAATAGGTTAGCAATAATTAGAGTTTTCAATGAAAATATTAAAGTACCTAGTACACCATTTTCCAGAAATCTTACTAGTTTTTAGGTCGTGCTATAAATAAATAATGCTCACCGAATGATTTCTGCGATCAAAGACTGGAGTGGTGACAGTAGTCATTAGTTGGCCGATCTTATCATCGGAAAAACTATCAGCCTGAAAAAAAATTTACAAATGATTAATAGTGTAATTACATAGGTTTTTAATTTAATTCTGTGACAAATTGTCAACGGGATATTTTCAGTGCTGCCAATTTTAATAAAAATTAAAATGCTAATAACTTCCTTAAGAAATGTCACCATATTTTTTAAATTATTTTTCTGGGGTTCCTTGAAGTGTTCTCCACCACGTAGTGGAGAGTTTTTACGCTATTTTCCGGACACCCTGTATAATGCACTGTTAAAATGAAAATTCATATTTACCCTGCCACCAACATAAGCCGGCGTCCAGTTTATAGGATGGTCGTTTTGATACATAACCATTGGTCTTGCCATTACTTCGATATAATGTAGAACTTTTTGTCTTATTTCATCGTAAGTCTGGATTCTTGTATAAAACCCTGAAAAACGTGTTTAAATAAAAACCTGTGTTGCACATTGCAAATGTTTTTCAGGAATAACAAATTGATTATCTACTGGTTTATTGCCAAGGCTATATTTATCTATCATGGTATAGTTCAAACTTTGGATGAACCCAAAACATGTTTTTTTTTTCAATAACTAACAAATTCCAAATACTTCTTTTGTTCAATCTCTGTACTTATAATAATAATAATAATAATAATTCCTTTATTTAGCACTTGGCTAATATAAATTATTTTTCACAATTTCACAAACAATACTGAAAAAAAAAACAGTATTATTTAAAAGGTAAATTTGCTCCATATGCTTTCACCTAGTTGACTTAACTAATCAGATGATAGATATTTACCTAACAAGTGCGGAAAGCGTTCCTTTACCACACGAGATGGACCAAGCGGAGTTCGGGCAAGTTTTTGAGGGCGGTAAAGTCACTTTTCGCACTTGTTAGGGACAAAATTTTTCCTTTGGAGCACATAATTTTTGGAATAAAAATCTAGTTAGAAGAAAAAATGCATAAAAAATAGCAAACATTGATTGTTAAAAATGCTTTACGTGAAGGCAAATACATAATTTGTTTTTTTTTTTAATTTTAATACAGTGCGGTAAAGAATCTTTACCGCACTGAGACAAAAGGTATTGGAAATCAAGTTTGAAAGAAATTGCAACTGGTGGCTCAATATAATTTTTATGTCAAAATTATTATGAGAAAAATTGGGTTAAACGTCTGGTCTAGGTGGCATTTATCAAAATCTGCTGCGTTGCATTTTGTTTTTGCCATAGCAACAAATCATTATTATAATTCGCGTCTATAGATACCACGTATAGAAAGTTCAGATAGATTCATGTTTTGTGATTCAAATTTTCCATTTTTTGGTATAAAATAAATTCTTGAGAGAGGAAACCTTCGATGAAGAAATATTCGAAGCAGCGAATGCAGCAGTCGGCTCTTTGATTCTACAAAAATCCCAGGACCAATACAATCAAGGATATGAACAATTAGAAACGGGTTATCAAAAGAGTGCGGTAAAGAGGTTTTACAGCACTGAGTGTGGTGAATTTCTCCCTACGGCATGCGAATGTGTGCGGTAAAGTATACCGCAATCGAGTAGGAAAGGAATTAAACACCTATACCTATAGCTATACAGGAAAAAAAATAATTTGAGGGGTTGATAGGAATTCCTTTTCTAGCCAAAATTTAAATTAATAAAATATAAGTAAAATCGTCATTACTTGTTGACTACCAGAAGTGATAATTTACCTTCGAAGGATTTTGTTACCTATTCAAAGGATCAATTCAAATTTTTAGTGTGTTTATATACTCTGAGGTTTATATACCTTTATTTTCACAAGCCATCCAATACATCTCCGTGGCACTTCCAGAATCCGAGCCAATCAGGTATGTGAACAATCGGACTGGTCTATGAGGAAAGTTATAAATTTTGAAAACTTCCTTATAACTTGAAGGTGGCCCATCGGTAATCAGCATGATAGCTTGGTTACATTGACAACCTTGCCCTGTGCGATTATACTGAAAAATAATAAATAGGTATTGGAATGTTCAATTCTTTCAACTTTTGAAAATTTACTCACCTTAAGCAAAATTTCAAATCCAGTAATGAGTGCTGAAGAAAAGTTTGCAATATTTTCTTGTTTTAGGGTCCCCATCGAATCTTTTAACCATCTAATGTTTTCTTCGGTAGCCTATAAATTCAGATTTTATTAAAATAAAAGCATAAAACTCGTCTCTTATGTTAGCATACCTTCTGAATTTATACTGTATAACTGAATAGTCTAACTTGGTCAGAAAATATTAGTTAAATAGATATACCTACATTAAAAGGGCGGTATGAGCATTATTATAATTTCATGCAGACAATAATAATTGAATTGTAAAGAAGCCACGGCTTGAATTTTAGAAGCTATGTTTGACATTTAATGTTTTTGAAATGAGTTAATTTTTATTTTCAATGATTTATCGTCAAAAAATTTGAAACACAAGTGGGTGATAACCGAAAATAAGGTGAAAAGCTCATTACCTATATCAATACGTAGCTAAAAGTACCTCAAATGGGCAATGTAACAAGATTTTGACGACTAATATGTCCTAGATACTAGTGGAATAAAATCACTGCTCTAACTCGCTGTTTTCTGAGGGTGGGTGATTCCGAGGTATAACCAGATGAAACCTATATCATCTTGTAGAGGACACTTTGGGGCATAGGAAATGGGAATGTACAACTTTTTTTAATAGGACTGAACTTTGAAATCAGCCCTTAAACGTGACTGAGCTCGAATTTGAAAAAATATGTTTTTCTAAATATTACCCGCTGTATTAATTTGAGCATACAATCTAAAATTCTGATTTTTTGCACACTTATACTTGAAACATGAGCGCTTCTAATGACAGTTCAGAAATTTCGAAAAGGCTCAAGGTTTTTTTGTTAAAAAGTTGGGAATATAGAATTATCAAAATCGTGCATCTAAAACTTCACCCTGCGGCAAGCAATGTAAATTATTGAAAATTTCTATACATATATATCGAATCAAATGTAGTAAGAACATTCACGAAGTTTTTTAAAAAAAAATTAAAGTGCTAACCTTAACGGTTATAGAAATATAAATTTTTATCCAAGAGCCCTGGCGTGCGCTCAGCCCATCATGAACCGCGTCGCGACGGAATTATTCGTGCATTTACCGAGAGGTGCATTTTCTGACTTTTCCAGTTTTGTGCGTTCGTATGCGAAAAACAGCTAAGTCTGATTTATCATCAAAGTTTGAAACATATTCAACAGTCGCTTCTCTTCGAACTGATGTTAAACAAGAGTGTGACTAAAAAAAGCAACTTAAGCTACTTAAATCAAGAAAAAAAATCTAAGATCTCCCGTGGAAACCGCAGTCTTTCATTCAACATACTATCCGAAAAAATTCTTCATGAAAATTAATTTTGCGGGAACTTGTGACGTCATACCGGCTAACCGCCGAAATCATAGCCTTCTGTTTGTTTAGTGGTTGAACCGTGCCCTATACTTTAAGTGGTTGCAATTTGCTTTAAGTGAGATCGTTGACTTTTGTCTTGGAAAATTTTACACATATTTTAACTGTGCCTCCGAAGCCAGTGTGAGGTCACAGCCTAGGCGTTTGTCACTTTGAACCACCCTTGTACTCGAAAACGGTTCATCGTAGCAAGATGCGGTTCAAATATTTGTTCTTAGATTTTTTCGCACTAAAACTTCATTTTTGGGTCACACCCCCTTCAATTTACTTATAATAGATGGCATGATTGGCATGGTACTTATTCAAGGACTAAATGATAAAGCATTTTCAACTTAACTTTTAATGAACTCGCATGTATTTTTCTGAAGCAAATTCTTTCACTTGGTCGAAGGCATGAAGCACTGAGGATAACGATGGTTTTTAATAGATGAATCGGTCAAATCTTTGGAAAGACGCAGAAGAAGTAACTTCGCAGATACGTATGCGTATGAAGTTTCTGGAAAGAGAAAAGTGATGAAGTTTCGGAATTTTTTAAAATTGTCAGAAAATGAAGAATGAAGAATCCCCATTGAAATTTGTAACTGGTTATATTTTGTAACATTTAGCTGACAAATAGAAGAAACTCTGATCATCGCTGGTGGTTTTGAAAACCCAAAGTTATGCTTTTCTGTCAACAAGGATGGTGTAACCGTGTAACCAAATTGAAAGATTTGAAATCGAATCATGACGAGACTGATGCACGATTTATAATCCAAGTCTTATATGAATATCAGATACTTCACCAAAAAAAAGTGTGTGAAGTCTGCAGATGCAAATGCTCTGGTATTACTTATTTACCACTATTCTGAATTTATTGAAGTAAGTTCTTTGAAAGAAACCTACCTTTTTATGGAATTAGGACAAGGGAATAAAAAACGGATCATTCCAATAAATAGTGCAGAAACTGGAAAATTAAGTTTATAAATGTTTACCAGAGTTGCATGTGTCAACAGGATGCGATACCACAAGTGCAAAGGCAAAAAATGTATTTTCTAAAAATCTTGGAACCTTATTTTGCCACCAAATTTGCATTGGCCCTATTCAGAAATGAGAACGAGGCCCTAAAAACCCTCGATAAATTGAGATATCAATTGACCACAACTTCCAATAAATCCGCTTCTGAACTTCTACCCACAGATGATGCATTTTACCAGCATGTACTGAGCTAGGTGTATATATAACAAAATAAGCTGTATTTATGCGATAAACAAAATTTCAGGTGCATATATCAACTGCGTATATGGATATCGAGTCATATACCTATACTTGACCCTGTTAACTTTGGTTGGACTAGGAATAATAAAATTTTTGAGCCTGTTTTGATGACTGCTGATCCCATACCAATGGATATAAGGCAACTAATGAATGTCTTCTGCGAAGATAAATTATGTCAAAATAATAAATGTGTCTACTTGAAAGAGGGTTTAAGATGCTGCAGCGATTGTTCCTGCAAAAGTTGTCAAAATAATGTTCCTGATTTATATGAGGATGACGAAGAAGAAAATATATGAACTAACTTCATAAAAAAGGATTCAATCAATTACTTTATTTATAGATTTTTTTATTTTATTTCTAGATGTAACGCTAACGCACTAACGCAGAGGATTTCCAGAATGCTATATCCGCTAGCCGCTTTCAGCATCAGAGCGCATTTCAAAGCTCCCGGATAAAAATTCATATTTCTATAACCGTTAAAGTTAGCGACTTAATTTTTTTTTCAAAAACTTCGTCAATGTTTTTACTACATTTGATTCGATATATATGTATAGATATTTTCAATAATTTACATTGCTTGAAGTGAAGTTTTAGATGCACGATTTTGATAATTCTATATTCCCAACTTTTTAACAAATAAACCTTAAACCTTTTCGAAATTTCTGAACTGTCATTAGAAGCGCTCATGCTTCAAGTATAAGTGTGCAAAAAATCAGAATTTTAGATTGTATGCTTAAATTAATACAGCGGGTAATGTTTAGAAAAACGTAGTTTTTCAAATTCGAGCTCAGTCACGTTTAAGGGCCGATTTCAAAATTCAGTCCTACTAAAAAAAGTTGTACATTCCTATTTCCTATGCCCCAGAGTGTCCTCTACAAGATGATATAGGTTTCATCTGGTTATACCTCGGAATCACTCAAAGTCATAATTTCATTGTGATTTTACTCCACTATACCTAATAATTCTATTTTTCGCCTTAATAAATTAAAAATCCGTACCTGCACTAACTGATCCTTAAAACATGGAAGAGTTTCCTTGGTAACATCCGAAAATCGAAAAATATTTACAAAATCATTATCAGTCAAGGTGTCCAAAAGGGCTTCTACGGTGGCTCGCGCCAAGTTAGCTCTATGCCCAGCCATCGATCCAGAGGCATCTAGAAGGATAGCAATATCTTTCGGAGACGTGGCTGCTCCAACATACCAAGCCGATGATCGGAAATCATACGGGCGTCGCACAACGGATTGGGATTCTTGCAACGTCGATAAATCTTCAGGTGGCCAAGAAATTCCTGGATATCTTCGCAAAAATCCTGCAGAACTTCCAAAAAATTGCCACGACAGCGATGGATCTCCTTCATAGTTGCTTACAAATAATGGATCCAAATGAGATGACCACTGGATAGCACCACTTACTTCAGAATCTAAAACGATGTTATTTATTATCATTTATGGAGAAGATCCTAAACCATTCTCGAATCTCAAATCTATTAAGAAGCTGCTGCAGCTTCTAACCAAATGTTGTCATGTTTGTTCGACCAAACAGCGTTAACAACTAATAAGGGACAAAAAATAATTTTCAAGACTATGATTGCTCACTCCGCTCGCCTAATCCCAAAGAGAAGATTGTCAAAGCCTGAATCCGTCAACAACAAGCGTGGTGCAAACAGAAACGACGTTTTTCATACATTTCCAGTTCCGAGGATCTTCTCGTTGAGGTTAGCGGAGCGAGCAATCATATGGTGGTAAAATTATCTTTGTGTAAGTCTCTTAGCAGTTGTCAACTCTTTCAGGCCGTGAAAACAGGACAACGTTACAGAAAAGAAGCATTTTGCGCAATTATTTGAAAGGGTTGTATAATCGACTTTGTTCTGAGGAATTGATAATTATGCTATTATAAGGCCGAATTGCATTCGTCAGAAATCAGACGAAAAAGTGCGAATGATCCCATTCCAGTAAAACCTAATGACGGTCGTATATTGGAGATACCTTTTTTGCAGTAGTTCCGACGATTTGTGTGTGTTGAGTGTGTTATGCTGCTGAGAAGATAGAGATACGGATATCGAAAAATTGATAAATCTGATTCATGAAAAAGAACCTTTTGGATAGGTATTATGGATATGATCGAAAAATCATATCACATGAGACACATGCAAAGAAAACTGTGGCAAGAAGTGGCAGTTGAAATGAGTTGAAATTCTCCGATTTGTTTTCGTTTTGTTAAAATATCATTAACCCAGCACTTTTCAATTTTTAACAATCCCCGTCTAACAAGATAATTATTTTCCAAAAGATAATCCTCCTATTACTCCACTACGTAAAGACTGAGTTCGCAATGCAAAAACTTGTCCAGTGGACGATATCTCGTAAGCGAAATCCTTAATATCTCAAATAATACCAATATGTATATTGAAATTTCAGCCTTGGCTGAATAATACAAACTTTTGAATGGAAAAACACATGCTGTTCTGGTGTTCCCCCTTGTACAACCGATACCTTTCTGACTGTTTAGGTGCCTACTTTTACCCCTTTGGGCCCTTTGAACAATGACTTTATTTCGTTCAATTCGTTGACAACATTGTGTTGATATGTTGTTGTTTATTATAAAAAATGCAGTGATAATTATTTAAATTGTGCGAAATAAATGAGAAAAACGTTACAATATTGATAATTAGGACTAGTTGATCATCTAACGATAAAGGCAAGTCTGTTTTTCTTCAATAAAGTGACCTTTTGGGAGGTATTTGCCTGCTTTACACCGCGCGGTTCAGTGCGACGTTGCCAAGTGTTTATAGAAATTTTACAAATGATAAATATAAATACGCAATTTCTTCGGTAATTCTTCAAAGTGATTTAGAATGGAATGTGATGTGTGTAAGAAGAAGGAAAGGGTCATTTTATGCGATGGATGTGCTTCAGAAATATGTGTCAAATGTTCAAAACTTACCGCATCCGAGATTAAAGTCATGGAATTAAAATGTAATCGAGTGATGAAATTTTACTGTACTAGATGCACCCAATTTGAAATAAAATGACTACTACAAAAAATGATTGAGGACAAAAATAATATTATTTCAAGTAAGGATGAAATTATTGCCTTGCTAAAAAAGCAGGTAGCAGATATGGAAACCATGAAGTCCCAAAACCTTTCATACAGCTCAGTAGTCCAACAAAACTTAAATAGACCCTCAAATCCAGTACTGAACTCTATGCTAAACAATATTCCAAGTCTATTGATCATACCCAATAAAACTCAGAATGTGCAAACCACAAAAAAAGACCTATACCAACAAGTTAAGCCGGCAGATTTGAAAATAAGAATAAAAAATACAAGTGAATTATCAAGGGGTGGCGTAATTGTGAAATGTCACTCAAAGCAGGATATTGAAAAACTTAAGACTGATGCTGAGAATAAGCTGAGCAACAACGGATACAAAGTACATTTGACAAAAATGAGGAAGCCTCAATTTAAAATTGTGGGTTATGATGGAGATCTAAATCTGGAGGATATTGAAAGTTGTCTTCGTGTCCAGAATGACAACATAAAGGAGAATGATGAGATTGAAATAACATACATGAACAACAATAAAAAAAACGGAACACGTACTATCTATGGAAACTGCAATGCCGCCCTATTTCACCGACTGCTTGCAAATAAAAGGATTTATCTGGAATGGCAGAGTTACCCTATCTACGAAGACATAAGTGTTCAACGCTGCTTTAAGTGCCAGGATTATTTCCATAAGAGTCAAAATTGCACATATGAGCTACGATGTGGTTATTGTGGTGGTAATCACGAATACCGCGAGTGCACTAAAGATCAAAAACACTGCAAAAATTGTGAAAAAGCAAATACAAAGTACGGATATAAGTATGATACCAAACATGAAGCTAGTGACTCAACTTGTCCAACCTATGAATATCACATTAAGATATTGAGAAGTAAAATAGACTACTCTGGTTTTTAATGGCTGACATTCAGAACGAAATTACCATATTGAACGAACTTGATATATGTGAAACTGAGTTTCAAGTTAGGACGGACTGTAATGAAATCTCTAAGCTTATTAATACTAACTTTAAATTGTTAAATGTTTTGCATCTGAATATCCGGAGCATACAAAAAAACTTTGACAATCTAATTGCCTTTTTTCAGGCCTATAACCTATCTAGTGATATCATCATATTGAGCGAGTGCTGGAAAGTTTCTGATGAAAGCTTATTTTGTATTCCGGGTTACTATGTTCACTATAATCACGGAAACTTTAACCAAAATGATGGCCTGATAATTTTTACCAAGACTTCTTTTAACGCTAAAATCAATGACTCAAAATTACATACATCGGGAACCTCACTTACTAAATTGTGTTTTACTATGGATAATGCTACTTGTGGCATTACATGGATGTACAGACCACCCTCCTCATCTACTCAACTTTTTTTGAATGACTTTGAAGAATATTTGCAAAATAATTCTATAAGCGATATTGAAATCTTTTTAGGTGATATCAATATTGATATTTTGAAGAAAAATGATAACTATTGTAATACTTATATTTCCCTTTTGAACTCTTTTGGTTTTGAATCGTCGATTAATGGTTATACTCGTATATGTTTAAATTCTGGTTCATGCATCGATCATATATTTGTTAAAAACAACAACAAAAATAAATATAATATTAAATCCTTCATTCTGGAGGCTGATATAACAGACCACTTCCCTATAGTACTTACCTTACAGGATAGGGATAATAGAAATAAACCTGAAAGTAAAATGGTAACCAGGACTGTTGAAAAACTAAACATACATACTTTTGAAAATTTACTCAAAAACACGAAATGGAAAAATGTAACTGAAACCATAAACGCGGAATTGGCGGCATGTAGATTTTCTGAAATAGTGTCAAACATTAGAAAAAATTCTATGGAAAAAAAAACTATAACTTATAGAGAAAATAAAAAGTTGAAACCATGGATAACGAATGGTATAATTAATTCAATAAAAACTAGGGACTCTATGAAAAAGAAACTTCTATTGAAATACAATGCACATTACGAGACTCTATACAAAAATTATAGGAATACTCTCAATAGCCTAATAAAAAAAACTAAACACACATATTTTAAAAATAAAATAAACAGTGATTCCAAAGATATAAAAAAAAATTATAAAATAATTTCTGAGGCAACTAACCAAATAAAATCTGATACAAATAATGTTTTACAAATAAAAAATGACAACCTGGACCTGTTTTCAAATAAAAAAGACCTCTCTAATTATTGTAAATGAATACTTTAGTAGCATTGGTATAAAGATGCTCAATAAAATTGACGAACCTAAAGATCCATTTAAACTTCAATCCAATTCCTCATCATCTATGTTCCTAACTCCTGTAAATGACAATGAACTTATTGATCACATCAGTTCCCTCAAAAACAGTTGCGCCCCAGTCCCTGATAAAATCGACTCCAAGATAATAAAAAAATTTCATCTATACCTTATCGAACCACTAAAACATATTATTAATTTATCATTCGATACTGGTTACGTACCTTGTTATTTCAAGGAGGCCATAGTTACTCCAATTTTTAAATCTGGTGATCCGGATCTTGTTAGTAACTACCGCCCCATTAGCGTAATTAATAATTTCTCAAAGGTTTTCGAAAGATGTCTTAAGTCCAGACTTAATAACTTTCTCAGAAAAAATAAAATCCTATCCGAAAATCAATTTGGTTTTTGTGAAGGTCAAAATACAACTGACGCGATTCTTCAACTGACAAAAGATGTTGTTAATTGTCTGGATACCGGAGTTAACTGCTTGGCTGTTTTCCTGGATCTGGCTAAGGCATTTGATACAGTCCCACACTCGAAACTTCTAAATGTCTTAAACTCATATGGGGTACGTGGGATCGCCCTCAGCATATTTTCGAGTTACTTGAATGATAGGAATCAAACAGTCAAGATCGGTGAAACCTTAAGTGATCCGGTTAAAGTTCGTATTGGAGTTCCACAGGGAACTGTCCTGGGTCCTCTTCTGTTTATTTGCTATATAAATTCTCTAACGAACCTAAAAATAAACAATGGAACTATCATATCATATGCTGATGACATGGTTATCCTCTTTAGAGGATCTTCATGGCATGATGTTAAAACATCAGCCGAAGAAGGGCTTACAAGGGTTAATTGCTGGCTACAGACATCCCAACTAACTCTAAACATTGGCAAAACAGAATATATGGCTTTTTCACTTACCTCTGTAAATCGACCACATTTTACCAGCATAAACTTGGGTGAGGGGATCATTGGGGAGGTTGAGGCCACCAAGTACTTGGGTATCACTATTGATAGGCACCTCAGATGGGACAAAACATGTTGCACGACTTACCCTCAATATTCGAAAACTCATTTCTAGGTTTTATATTT